TCTCTTTCTGCAGCCAGTCAGCTATCAACATGGCAGCTGAGAAGCCGTCTGTTACCTCACGCTGCCCGTGAGCCTCTCTTAGCTGCTCAGTCTTTACTCTTCCTCTGAACTTTTGTAGACAGAACTGTACCTTGTTGTTTTTATACCCAGGGGTTAGGAGGGTGCCTTACACATCAATGTTGAATGATCTATTAGAAATGACAATATGGAATGGGAAACTAGACTGGGTCTTAATTCTTAATGGTTATACAGCTAAGGTTTTATTTTTATTTTCACCTAAGATGTTGTAAAGTATTACCTAAAGAGGTATGTGAAGTGTTAACACTTCCAGTTTCATGATTTTTTTTTTTAATATATAGCTACCCATGCAGCATTTTCCTGAGAGTCTGAGACTTTTAGTAACTTGGATCACTAGTAAGTGTCAGAGCTCGGAATCAAACTCATATCTGAGCTGGGACAGTGTCCTTATAACTGCTCTGCCAAGCAGCCTTTCTGAATTATAACATTAAATTTTTGATCAAAGGTATAATTCAGTAGGTTCTTTATTTAGGCTCACAATTTTCTTTTGGCATTTACATTATGGTTATTGATAGAACCTTAGTTTTATGATAAATTAGGGCTAATGCTTTCATGTATATATGTTTTATGTTTTGCTATGGCTCATAGTAAAAGTCATACAATAGTAGATACATTTTTCTGTGTATTTCTTCTTTCCCTCCCTCTCTCTTCCTTACCCTTATCCTCCCTCTTCTCTCTCAGCATTCTCATATAGCTCGCATATTGTCTGTTATATGAATAGATGTTAGTATAAGGTTTTTAAAAAGAGAGAAAAATACTACCTTTCTTATAAATGTCAGAAACATGCTACAAATCAAATATTAGAACCAAAACAAATAATAAAGGACAGTTTAATGTACACCTTATGAGAAAATATGGATTGGTAAAATTATTGTCATTTTTTTCCTAAAGCGTTTTAATCTAAAATTCATTATGTGTAAGGCAGTGGCCTGAGATGTGCAGAATGGAGAGAATATAAAGCACTTAAGGTGTGTCCTGCTCGTGTTGTGAAGAAGCAGCTCATAGTCTAGTAAATGCAAGAAACCCCACATTAAAAACTCTTAACAGTAATGTAACATTTTATGATATAATTTGTGATTCTTTTCAAATTAATCATAACTACCATAGGAATTCTGAAACAGGAACAAAATCTTGTCGGTTGAGTTACTTAGAGAAATAGAATTTATAGGTGGTTCTTAAAGGGAAGTTGGGATTTGAATATAGGTGAACAGAAATGATACAACATTATTTTATTCTGTTTTCCTTTGGCCAGAATTTATTTTCTAGGCATCTAAATAGTGTTTTGTTGCTAGGTTGCTTAGTTCAATAGTTTCTCCCAGAGTTACAGTAGAAACATAGAAGAGTGTGATGTTCTTCTCCTTTCGAAATATGATATTTTGAATGCTAAAATATCTGTCATATAAAGGAATATGCTATAATGTGGCACTGTAGCTTTGTCTCTATGACATATGTAGGTCATTATGGGTCTATTTCTATTTATTTTACCAGCCTAATCTCATCATTTCTTTCACGTACTGTTGGCAGTTTGTCCAAAGTTCGTGTTCTCTTTGCCTCCCAGGGCTTTGGCTGTGTGCCTTCTGCCTTGATCACTGCCCTTTTACTTGTCTATTCTTCATCTTTTCAGGCTCAAATTAGATGTCATTTTATTCTAGGAAGCCTCTCTCATCTTCTAAAACTGAATTAATTTTGCATGTTCACAAAGCATCCTTTACTTCACCTCATTGTAATTTCTGATGTACTTGTCACAAGTTATTAAGCAAGCTCCTAGAGGTTGAAAATCCTAAGTCTTTGTTGTTGATGTTGTTCACTGCTATCTCCTCAGTGCCTTAGTACATTTTCAATAGATATTTATTAACTAGAGACATCTCTTAGGGGTTAGGTGATCAATAAATATCATGAGTTTATTTCATTAAAATAACTTACACTGGGGCCTCTCAGTGGTTTTGAGTATGTAACTCTATTTGAGCATCTTAGAATACAATGGAGTAGTTTCTATAGAGTGAACTTTGGAATATATTTGTTAACTTAGTATTTTAGTTTTTTCTTCATGTTCTCTTGTTAATGATAATATTGCTACTTCAGCTATTTTTTTATCTATTTATTTTTTTAAGCCATGTCTTCAATTCTTTATCAGTTATTTCTGGTATATTTATAAGGAGGTGTATTTATTTGTTACACGTTTTTCTATCCATTTATTTTTTTATTCTGTTTTTGTTTTATGTCTCTGTCTTGTAAGCTACATTTATCCAAATTTTATTTTTGTATCTGTTTTATATCCCTGTTTCTAATAAGTGATTTTAATCCATTTATATTTATTGTGATTACTGGTATACCTGTATATACATATTTCCAACATTTTTGTTTATTCGGCCCTTTTCTTTTAATTTACCTGCCTTCAGTTAGATTATCATTTTTGTTATTTTATATTTTCCTCTGCTTTTTTAGATCCTGTATATTTCTATTTTAAAATTAAATTTTTCCAATATTTTTTCCTCCTAATTGTACCAAAGTTGTTAGCATGCTTTTTCACCTGAACATTCCCTTATCTATCTCATTATTTATTAGAGTTTGAGTTTTAGACTTTTTAAACCCTCAAATGTTCGTTTTTATTTGGTTAATCATTAGCATTTTAGCAATTTCTGTGATTACTTTTTTTTGTATACCATGGGTCCTGTGTCCACTTTTCTTCTTGATCAATTGTTTCTTTTGTGATCTTTCGAAGATCAAGTGATATTTAGTAGGTGGTAAATTTTCTTAGCCTTTGTATGTCTAAAGTGTATTTTTCCTTCATTCTTGAATGATGGGTTTGGCTACAAATAAAATTTTAGACATTTTTCCTCAGCTTTTTGAAGATCTTGCTTCCCTATTTTCTGACCTCTATTGCAGCTGCTGAGAAGTGTGCTCTCAGCCTTATTCCATTGAGGTAATCTGTATTTTTTCACCCTGATAGGTTTGTTTTTTTTTTTTGCATTTTTGGCCAGGGCTGGGTTTGAACCCACCACCTCCAACATATGGGGCTGGCGCTCTACTCTTTTGAGCCACTCTGACAGGTTTTAAGATTATATTTTTATTATTATGTATGTACTTTAGCTATAGTATATCTAATGTGGATTCATGTTTATGTAATCTGATACTTTTTTTCTATTTAATGTTTTATCAAGGTCTAACTTGTGTGAAGTGTAAGTGCAGTTAAATTTTATATACACATATACCCATGTTACCACCACTTAGATCAGCATTTAGATTATCTAATATTGTAAATTTTAGAATGTTCCTAACAAGCTGCAAGGCTCTCTTCTGCCCTCTTTTTGTCAATACTAAACTCATTCAAAGATCTTTCATTATGAGGACATATATCTCCAGTGCTGGGAAATTCTCAGCAGTTGTCTCTTGCTGTGTTCATTCTCCAGCAATCTCTTCTCTTGGAACTCCATTAGCAAACATCACAGCCACAACCTATGTCACTTAACTGCTCTTTCCTTTTTTGTTTTGGTTTTTTTGCCTATTTGTCTGTCTATATTAAGTTCCAAGTGATTACCTTTCAGTTTACTAATGCTCTCTTCCACTATGCCCTGCCTAGACTATATTTCATTGATTGTGTCTTTTTATTTCAGTGACTTAATTTTTTATTTTCAAGATTTTTAATTAGTTTTTACCTGATGTTTTATTTCTGTACATTATTTTTTAAAATTTCTTTCTCTTGTGATGGCTTTCCACTTTTATTCATATTTTTTGAACATCTGCAAGATGTTTGTTTTATAATCTTTTACATATTTTTTTTGTTCCAGTTATTTATTTTGTGGCTTGCTTTTCTTAGCATTAGATTTCTTCATATTTCTTAGAACTTAGTTTTGGAATTTACTTTTGAATGGAAGGTTTTTCTTTCTGTTTGAATGTTTTTCCTCCTATGCATCCCTCACCTGGCCCCTCCAGGGATTCTGCCATTGATTTGGGGGGATATTGATTGACGGTTGCAGTCCTGAAACCAGAGAGTGGCTTGGCTCGGTTCTTGGTACTGAGGCAATACTTTTCTCCCCCACCTTGCTATACCCACAGTTTGTGATTAAAACCATAGTCTCAGTCAGTACGTTTTGATGGCCCATTTTATCAGCCTCATATTTTGACTAGAACTCTGACTTAGCCCTACCTTCAAGTAGTGAATCTGGTATGAGTCCCTTATATCCAGCAGGCTACTTTTAGTAAACTCCCCAAAGAAAACTACCCTAAACCTGCTTCTAGATCTAGAAACCAATAAGTCTGTAGCTTCAGGTCCGGCTCAACATTTTTTGAGTTTCTAGATCTTTTTTGTTGCCCAGAAATGATCTGTATTTGACCTTGGCTGTGTCTTTAATTTTCTGTCTTTATGTTTTATTCATATATGCTATATAGTGCCAGTGGGATTTCTGAATTTGCTTTAAGATGTTAGCCCTGAAGTGCTATTATTTAAAAAACTATTCTTTCATGGAATAACAAAGTGTATGAAAAAGAGGAGGAGATATGGAATCTGGAATTGATTTGTTCAGTGGTGAATATGAATTTGCTGCTATTGTCCCTATAAAGTGTGATTTCTTTTTTAATATTTTTAGTATTGGTCTGTAATCTTTGTAAAGGTATCTTTATTATAATAATATAATGTATGTCTATTATGGAGGTATTGGAAAATACACATAATGCATACATATAAGTAATAAGAATTACTTGTATTTTCACAGCCCCCAAAAAGCTATAGAATATTGTGGAATTTATTCATGTTTTAGACATATACATGCTTATAAATGTGTTAACATTAAATTTTTTGTTTTTATTTCAATGGATTTAGGGAGCATAAGTGGTTTTCTGTTCCATGGATGAATTGTATAGTGGGGAAGTTAGGGCAATATTCGTATTTTAAAAACCAAAGTAAACGTAGTGTTGTTTTGTAGGTGAAGCTGTCAGTGCTGGTGATGCGTTATGTGAAATTGAGACTGACAAAGCTGTGGTGACCTTAGATGCAAGCGATGATGGTGTCTTGGCCAAAATAGTGGTAAGTTTTTATTTTAATTATCTTCAGCAGAATAAAGATTTCTTAAAAATAGAGTTTCTTGAATTAAAGTTACCTTTTATTTTTATTTATTTATAATGGTGTATGATCTACTATAATAATACACTTTTATTTCAAGTGTTTAAAATGTTTTGGTGTTAAGGTCTAGTAGCCTTTTTTCCCTAAATTTTCTGTAATGTGTATGTTGTTTTTGTAGTAGAATATTGGAGCTACATGACAAATAACATGAAATTTTGTAAGCTTGTGACAGAAACATGACTATTTAGGGTTATGTAATACATTCACTGGTGGAGCCAACAAGCATGTTTATTTCTTAGTTTCACATTTACTAGGTAGTATAGGGCAGCAGCTAGGACTGAGGACTCTGGAGCTGCCCTGCTGACTGATTCATATAGCTAAATTAAAAAGTTCTGCCATTTATTAGTTTTATAATGAATAGCAGTTTCTCTAGCCTCTGTGTTTTTTTCTTCACAGTAAAGTGGAGATGATAATAAAAATACCAATATTATGAGATGATAGTGGGAAAGATTATGAGTGAACACACCCAATCCTCCCAAGACCTATTACCCACCAAGTGTTCAATAAACACTGCTTTTCCCATTATTATAATTGTTTGTTCTACTCTTGGTGACCATTAACCTGTATGCTGGTCAGTATGTTTGCCTAATGATTTGTATTGGCTGGTTGTGACTGGCCTGTAAGTATCCCTTTGTGCCTGTATGTTTTATTTTGGGAATCATAATATGTCAAACTTCTATTGTTTGTCATCTGTGACATTAACAGTTAAGCAGCACATCTCTTAGCAGTCCCTTGTTGAGGGGTTTTTAGTTCTGATTCATTTGTTCATCTCTGCTTGAAGCATGGATATAATGCCTTGCATTGTGTATTCCAGTCAAAGACCGCATTCTGGAATGTTATACTCTAATTAGATGAGAGTCTAAAACAACTTTAACTATAGTTTTTACTAGAAAATTCTCTTTCCCTTTTTTTCTAGCCACTTATGTTTTATTTTTGGAATCCTAATATGTCCAACTTCCTTTATTTGTCATCTGTGATAGCCAAGTTGAAACACGGGTTAAACATGTGGTTCACTTCCTTGTAGGACATAGGAATCAAAGGGTAACATTTCTGCACCTTTATAACTGGGAAAATATAAATATTCATACCAAAAATAGTTTTCTTGACAAATAGATGCAGCATTTTGAAAAAGATTGCGTGCATTACCTTATGTTATAAACATAGCTGCATTTTATTGTGTGTGCTTCTGGCAGGCTGTGAATTGTCTGGCTGTGAAAGTCTCCCAGAATTGATAGCATTTTCCACTTAGCCGCTTAGTAATGCATTTGAAATTGCTAGCCATGTCAGTGGGTTGGCACTGCCTATTCATCTGCCCCTAATGTTCTGAAAAAGGTTGGGGGCAGGGGTGGGTATACTTGATAGCAGCTTTAGTGTCACAGCGATTTTCTTGTGAAAGAAAAGATTGTATGTATAATATATTTTAGGCCTTTGTGGCTTTATTGTTATTCCACATACTTTTTAGGTAATGGAAATAGGAGTATGTTCATAACACAATGTCTGAAATTTTATGGGGGAAAATTGAGAAAAAATTAAGGTGATATTACCAGTGATTTTTTTTTTTTTTTGCCTTTCCACTCCCACCCCCAACAACTAGCAAGATGTACACCTTTAGCATTTTTCTCTTACATTGTGGAATACTTCTCATATTAGCACACATAATAAAATGATTTCTCAAAGAATACATGTGATTTTTTACTTTCAGAATCAAGGAACTAGATAACTGAGGTTATTGAAAAGCAAGAGATATTATAAAACTAAACATTAAAAATAAAACTTGAATCACTAAAAATGCTAGTGTTTAGTTTTAGCCCACATTTTTGAAATGATGAGAAATTATGTATTTTTCTCTTTTGAGAAGTTTGTTTCATTAGACTTTGAGAGGCTTTCATGTTCTTTTACCCCCACAATTTCATTATTTTTTGGATGTCTTAGGTAAAATGTTTGCATCCAAATTTTATTTTAAACATAAAATAATCCTTACTGCATTTTAATTAGAACCAGAAGAAAAGCTAAGGTGCTCCTACTGTTGTAAATAAAGAATAATTGCTGTCAATATCAATAATTTTATGATTTATTTCTAATTTATTTCAATTACTGGGAAAGTTTTTAAGCTCTCTTTTAATCATTAGTAAATTGTCACGTAGAAAACATTAAATTACAGATTACAGAGATCAGTCCATCAGCTTAGTCTTAAGTTTTATATTTTGCAAATTGGAAAATGGGTGTGTTAAGTGATAAATTAGTAAAGTAAAGTCTTAGGATGACATATGATATTTGGAGGTTTTATTAGAGGTTAATCCAGTTCGGGTTCTGGCATATTTAGGATTGCTGTGTAATTTGTCATACAAACTAGGATTATTTGAGAGGGAATGGGTGTAAGATATTAAAATTGTATCTTACCAGCTACCAGTATATTCATTGATAGATTTTTATTATATTGGCAGACCATTATTCCAAACGATTTTCAAAAATAGAAGTATTTCTAAAAGATAACATCCATGGGTGTTAAAACTAAAATCTTTTAAAAACTTGCTTTTACTGATCGTCTGAATAGTAAAAACAACAGAATAGCTATTCTTAGTTCTATTCACATTCTTCAGTGTTTTAGCTCTGTCTCACCCTAATACTGTTATTGGTATTTTTCTAAAGAACGTATTTTTAATATGATTTTATTTGTTAGATTTCCCTTCCTCTGCCCTTTTTATTAAATTATGCACAATTGCCTTCAAAGTTGCATTTAAGGTTTGAAAGTTTAGAGTTGAAATTTGAAGTTATGAAAACGTCAGTTGATTTTTCTTTGTAGACCATGAAAATTTTAATTGGGAAAAATGACATCTCAAAACCTAGAGCAAATCCTACTAGGTTCTAATTTTTTTATATGGAAATGAATAAATGACACATAGAGAGAAATAATAGTTTATATCCTCCATGAATTAAAGTCTAAATCAATTATATCCACTTTATATATTGTAAGCTTGTTTTTTAAAATGCTGGTACCATCTTGAGGTCCTAGTTGATCATTTTGATCAGGTAGATATAGATAGATTTGGTACTGATCATATTGAATGCCATCTCTAATGTCAGAATACTTTTAAATTGCCGCCTACCAGTCTAGTGATCTTGAGCAAGTTAGGTAACCCTTCTGTGCCTCAGTTTCTTCATCTCTAAATGGGAGTAATAATAGTATTTGCCTCCAAAGCTTACTAGGAGAATTAGAGTTAATACTGTGCTAGAACAGTGCTTGGCATTTGAAGGCCAGACAACTGTTATTCAAGGACTTAGGGAATCTTTCTTCTTCCCTTCTGTGCTATGTAGCTTGTCACGATTTGTTTTCATCTTCAGTGTTTCCTATATATCTTCCTTATAAACCATAGTTCATTGTGTGTAGAAGTGAAACAATACATATTAAAGAACAAAGAAAGTTTAAAACTGAATAAAGTTTCAGACCATGATGGAAAACCAGTGTTGAACCAAGTGAGTCAGTCATGCTCATCTCCACTGTCTGCACTGTCAGGAGCCACTTAGTAGCTCTCAAATTGTTCTCTTTTAAATAATAAAATATTTAAATAATACCTTAATTTACTGATTCTTTTATAATATCAGAATTAAAACAGATATTTACATCTTTAATAGGGTGAACCCCTTCAAAGAATTTCTCTGTTGAAATGCTGCCATAGATCTTTTGTCTTGACTTCAGCATCTTATATCCTTGGGCACACTGATGAACTTAGGTGAGCTTTATTTACTGTACTTGTAGGTGATTACTAGGTCTGTGGCCATGGCTCTGGTACAGAGGCCTGAAAGTAGGGACCCAAGTTGAGGGATGAAATTCAGATTCCATGTGAGTATTACCAAGAAATAGACTGGGTGCAGTGGCTCACACCTATATAATCCTAGCACTCTGTGAGGCCAAGGTGCATGGATTACCTGAGCTCATGAGTTCGAGACCAGTGTGAGCCAGAGTGAGACCTCATCTCTGAAAAATAGTGGGGTGTTGTGGCGGGCGCCTGTAGGAGGCTGACGCAAGAGAATTGCTTAAGCCTAAGAGTTTGGGATTGCTGTGAGCTGTGATGCCAGGCACTCTACCGAGGGTGACAAAATGAGTCTTTCTCAAAAAAAAAAGTTTATCATAGACCTTAACCACCTATTTGTGTTGCTGTTTACCCTTTTGTGCTACCAGCCATATGGGTGCCTTTAGGCATAAATTTCCAACCCTTCCTGAGGAAAACACCATCAGAATACTGGCAACAATAATATCTTCAACATTTATATAGCAGTTACTAGATGGGAGATACTGTTCTAAGGATCTTACCTATAACTCATTTTTATTTATCATAACTCTGTGAAATAGCTACTACTATTATTTGCATTTTACAGATCAGGAAATAGGCATGTTGAGATAAAGAAACTAAAAGTTTTCATAACCAGTAGGTGGTGGAGCCAGCATCAAAAGTCAGGAATTCCATGCACAGCTTTGAATGATAGAGTCAAGATACAATATTTCAGCATTGATGAGCTGTTAGTTAATAGCACTGAGTGTAAAAACCTTGCATTTAATATTAAGAAATCAATGATACAAGAGTAAGAGAGGGCCTTGATCAAGTAAGCTAAGTGCATGGGAAAAGCTGGATGTTTGAAGTATCCTCAAGCTCCAGGTGCTCTGGTAGAACAGAGTTCATGCACAGTGCTAACCTGGATAGAGGAGAGGGGACAGTCACCAAGGTCTGCTAGCTTTCTAAACACAGTTTTGCAAAAAATGTTATTTATTCTTCTATTATTAAGTCCATACAAGTTTTGAATATCTTCTTATTGCAGCATAACCAAGTGTCTACAGAAAACTAGCACACTTCTAAAAGATTTCTTATTGTGTTAAGGGAATAGAAAATGTCAAAGAAATTATCTTAAATTACACAGTGATTTTAATGACTTTAAGTGGAACTATGATTAACATTACTTCTTTCATGTCTGTGACATATTCAAATAGTGTGCTAGTTTGATATATTACTTGTCCTTGTGGGTTTCATGCTTCCTGATGTCATTGTTTTAATGGAAAAAAATTTGAGTGTTTAAAAATGCTTTATCTGATATTTAGATTTGGCAAAATTTGAAATGATAGCAAACTCTCATTGCCTACTTGTGAAGATGTCAGCATCATGTTGGTAGAGTATGTATAAAAATCATTTAGATGATTTACAGTAAATGAAACAGAAAGTGAGGTGTCAGTTTCAGATTCTGTATGAGTGAAATCTGAGTGTCTGACTCAGATTTCAGAAATCAAGTGTTTATTTTTTTGAGAGAGAGTCTCACTTTGTTGCCCTCTATAGAGTGTTGTGGAGTCATAGCTCACAACAACTTTAAACTCTTGGGCTAAAGTTATCCTCTTGACTCAACCTCCCAAGTAGCTTGGACTACAGGTGCCTGGCACAAGGCCTGGCTATTTTTTAGAGATGGAGTCTCCTGCTTGCTCAGGCAATCTACCCGCCTTGGCCTCCCAAAGTGCTAGGGTTATAGGTGTGAGCCACTGCACCTGACCCGTCAGTTGATATTTTTAAAGCAAGACTTCCCTATTTTGTTTCTTAATGGTTTACATTTGAATGGTTTTGTACTTGGAAATCAGTCCTATTTTGGTTCAACTTTGAAAGGAATTAACATCAAGTGGACTTCATATCACTAATAATGCTTATTTTTCTATCAATTTTTTAAAAAATATTAGTGACATTGTGATCTTAAGTTAGAAGTTCTTTTAGAAGAAAAATGTTAGCCTAGTAATATTCTTAACTCATTTTTTTGACACAGTAAAGAGAAATGAACCATCCACAGAAATAAAACTTTTTGATATATCAGTAACAACTAAACAATTAAATTTTTCTTGGTTTGTTTAGTATTTTTCACAGCTTTTAATTTTTTAAACATTCTTATTCAATATTATATACCTGTTTTTGATATATCTTTTGTTTTATGGAGCATTGCTTCTGTTCTTTTCCATTAGTAATTAGTAAACCTAGAAAGTTTTGTGCCCTCAAACTTAGGCCTTATTATTTTAAGAATAATGCACATACTAATAAGCATCAAAATTTGTGTTCTCTGAAATGTCAAACTCATTCTAGAAGTTAAGCTTTTCCTTATTATTACTGTATTAGTGAACATCCCGCAGTCTATCATTCTATTATTCATTTAGTACATCTGTAATGAACCTTATTTAGAGTAATTGGAAAGGAATGTGAGAAAATTTTAAAGGCATGACATTTTCTTCCAGTCCTGAACTTACAAAATGTTGTTATCTGATAGTTTTCTAGGGATGTTTTTTAATGAGTTTTGTTTGATATTTAGATTTAATGAATTAGATGATTAGAGTCAGCCCTTTCTTTATAAATTAATGCTACTAAAATGCTTAGAATTTATTTATCTTAATTTAAAAAAAAATCCCAGTCTTTCTTAGCTTTTACTTTTTAGGTTTGATAAATAGATAGCAAGTAGTCAATATAAAAAAAGAAGTAAACTGTACTTAACAGAATAGCTTACCCATTCTGTCTATACATGGAACGTTCTTTTTTTCTACAGACTGTCTACTAAAAAGATTTTGCTTTACATTTTAGTAAAACAGATTTGGGGGGAATTAATTCCTTCTGAGCTCATAGAATTCTGAAGCCTTTGTGTAGAAACTATCTGGGAAAGACAGATAGTTGAGATGTGTAACCAAAACATCTTGGTTTAGTTTTATATTAATTGACATCCAAAAAAGAAGATGCTGGGTGTGGTGGCTCCTATTCTGTCTTGAGACCGAGAGTTCCAGACCAGCTTGGGCAACATAGCAAGACCTCATCTTTACCAAATTTAAAAAAAAAAAAAAAAAAAAGATAATGATAGTTCTTACATATTTGAAAGCTATGAGAAAGAGGAGAGAGTCTAGATTCTTTTTTTTATTGGGGGGGGTGACTTTAGTAATTGAAGGGGGAGTGTGGTGAAGGAAGTGGGAGGACGTGGCAGGTGGAAGCTGGAAGAAACCTAATTTGGAAGCAGCTTTTATCTCAAAAGATCTTTCTCCCATCCAAGTACTAACCAGGCCCAATCCTGCTTAACTTCCAAGATCAGACAAGATCAAGCTTATTCGAGGTGACGTAACAGGTAAAATGCACACTCTCTGGGTGCTGGGCACGTTTATAACTTTGATTCAAACAGTACAAAAAACAATTTATGTAACCAAACTGTTTGTACCTCTGTGCTATTCTGAAAGAAAAAAAGGAAAAGAAGATCTTTCTAACCAGTACAGAATTACCCAGCCAAGGAATAAACTACTATAGTCACAAGCCTTTCCATCTTTACAATTACTTTTTTTTTTTAAATGTAGGTTGAAGAAGGAAGTAAAAATATACGACTAGGTTCGCTAATTGGTTTGATGGTTCAAGAAGGAGAAGATTGGAAAAATGTTGAAATTCCCAAAGATGTAGGTCCTCCATCACCGGCTCCAAAACCATCAGTGCCGGGCCCCGTAGCAGAGCCACAGATTTCTATCCCTGTCAAGAAGGAACACATGCCTGGGATACCACTGTGAGTATATTTATTTGAATAAAGTTGTTAATAAAAACTATTATGGCAGCTTTTAGGGTATTTTAGTCATTATCATATTCAAACATCCTTGCACATTTAAGTAGGAAGTTGCTGATCTTAGCATACTCAGACCTCAGAATTTTTATTTTATCATCATTATTTAGTAAATGAGTAGTTATTGAGTAGTAGCTACGTTCCAGGTACTCTCAAAGCTATGCTTCCCCAGTGGAGAACGATATATAGTCTATGTCCACGTTGAGTTTGAATTGGGTTTTAAAATTCCTGATGGAGAGTGGCACCTGTGGCTCAAAGGAGTAGGGCGCTGGCCCCATATGCTGGAGATGGTGGGTTCAAACCCAGCCCCAGCCAGAAACTGCAAAAAAAATTTTTTTCTGATGGAAGCCATAGTTCATATTATGTTCCCACTTGTGGAATTGTAATCATTATGCAAATTCCAGTTTCAAATGTATAACCGATGTAAAATGGAATTCTCATTTTAAAATGCTTTGCTTTTCACACTATTCTGCCTTTGAGTTTCTGACAGAATAGAGCTCAGTTTTGTCTCTTGTTCTGTAACAACACAGATAATTAACAAACATCATTTTCTTTAGCTTTCTATAACTTTTATTGATGGACTCTGCAAATTCTAACAAGTTTTATTTTATTTATTTTGGTGTTCTCTATAGTGATACCAAGCTACTTTTTCCTTATAAGAAAAGGTTCTTCATAGAGAAAAGCAGACCTTTATATTTTTTTAATGTTTTTTTCCTTCAGTTTACTGTTGTCAGTTCTTGTCAGAAAAACATGCTCAGTATATTTTTAAATAGTGATTTTTAAATTTCCTTCATCAAATTATTTCTGACTACATTGCCTTGACTCCCTTTTACTTTTTCCTCTTTTATTTATCATGAAAATCAAGAGACAGTCTCACTGATGTTTTGGACTCAGTGATCTCCCTTTTCAAAGATAGTAGAATATATCCTAACTCTTGAGATCAGTCATCATTAGTTAATCTTACATAACATTCCAGTTTCTCTTGAACAATCCCAAGATTTGATAATACTGGGCCCATATCAGCTAAAGCAGTGTCACAGTTTTTCCTCTTCATTTCTTAGTTTTAAACTTCTAGAACTAGCCTGGTTTAATCTGTACTAATCTGCTTTATTTTCTTTAGCTGAACTTTGTAGTCATTTTATTTGCTACTTTGCTTAAAGGTGATTAGTGGAAGAGAGACACCACTAGTCATGTGGCCTTGGGTATGCCTTACTTTTCCTGATGTTTAAAATCAGTATAATGGTTTTTGCCTTTTTTATTCTTCTGGAGTATATTTAAAGTAAATGTGCTTTAAAAAAAAATAAAAATAATTAAAAAGTGCTTTTATGTAAACACTTAGGTCCTTAAAAAATAAGAAGGCTATAATTCAACCTCAGCAAAACAAACAACCTAACTAAAAAATGGGCAAAGGACTTAAATAGATATTTTTCTTAAGAAGATAAATAGATGGGCAGTAGGCACATGAAAAGATACTCACTATCACTATATTAGGGAAATGCAAATCAAAATCACAGTGAGATACTACTTCACACCATGAGGATGGCCTTTACCAAAAAAACAAAAACAGAAAACCCCAGAATATGACAGGTATTAGCAAGGATGGGAAGAAATTAGAACTCTTGTGCTTTGCTGGTAGAAAAAAAAATGGTGCAGCTGCTGTGGAGATTGGATGGCATTTCTCCAGGAAATTAGAATTACCATATCAGTTATTCCACTTCATGAATACATATGTAAAAGAATTCAAAGCAGAGAATGGAAAAGATGTTTGTACATATATGTTCATAGCGGCATTATTCTAAGTAGTGAAATGGTGAAAACAACTTCTATGTCCAAATACTGTGTGCATACAATGAAATGTTATTCAGCTTTAGAGGGGAGGAGATTCTTTTTTTTTTTTGAGACAGAGCCTCAAGCTGTCACCCTGGGTAGAGTGCTATGGCATCACAGCTCACAGCAACCTCCAACTCCTGGGCTCAAGCAAGTCTCCTGCCTCCACCTCCCAAGTAGCTGGGACTACAGGTGCCCCACAATGCCTGGCTATTTTTTGGTTGCAGCCGTCATTGTTGTTTGGTGGGCCCAGGCTAGACTCGAACCTGCCAGCTCAGGTGTATGTGGCTGGTGCCTTAGCTGCTTGAGCCACAGGCCCTGAGCCAGAGGGAAGGAAATTCTAACACATGCCACAACATGGATGAGCCCTGAAAACATTATGCTGAGGAAAATAAGCCAGTCACAAAAGGACATTGATCTGTATGATTCCACTTATGTGAATTACCTAGAGTTGACACTCTTAACAGATACAAAGTAGAACCTACATGATTGCCAGGGACTGGGAGAGTGGAGTGGGGAGAAGGGAGAGTTGTGGTTTAAAGAAACAGTATGGCACCTATAGCTCAGTAGATAGGGCACCAGCCACATATATTGGACCTGGAGGGTTTGAATCCAGACCAGGCCTGCCAAACAACAATGGCAACTATAACCAAAAAGTAGCTGGGCATTGTGGTGGGCGCCTGTAGTCCTAGCTACTTGGGAGGCTGAGGCAAGAGAATCGCTTAAGGGCAAGAGTTTGAGGTTGCTGTGAGCTGTGATGCCATAGCACTCTACCAACGGCAACATAGTGAGACTCTGTCTAATATATGTGTATATATATATATATATATATCAATTTGGGAAGATGAAAAAGTTGTAGGGCTGGGTGGTGGCAATGGTTGCATAATGGTGCGATTGTACTTAATGTCTCTTAAAATAGTAACTTTTGTGTATAGTTTACCACAGTTGAAAAATATATTTATTTCCTTACCGATGTGTGTGTTGAGGAGCTATGTGGAGTAGTCAAAAGGAGTTCTTTTCTCTAGTGAATATTTATTCTTACTATGAGTATTATGAAATAGAAAATAGTTAGAGCAGTGGTGCTCAACCTTCCTGATGCTGCGGCCCTTTAATACAGTTCCTGTGGGTTGCAACCCATAGGTTGAGAACCGCTGAGTTAGATTTTCATTAGATATTCTCATATTTAAATGAGAATTAAATAAACCAGATAGTTTATTTGACTGTGAACATCTATAGGAGACACTGTAGCTTTATTGTAAGATTTTAATTTTTTAATTATCAGCAAAACTGTTGACATTTAGGTTTATTTGAATCAAATATAAGGGTTAAGTTGGTTCCATTAACTTTCCTATTTTCTTCTTAGGTTCCGTTTAAGTCCAGCTGCCCGCAATATTCTGGAAAAACACGCACTGGATGCCAGCCAGGGCACAGCTACTGGCCCTCGGGGGATATTCACCAAAGAGTATGTGTTTGCTTTTTGTAATAGCCAGTTCCATTATTTATCATGATCATCTTTTTCCGAGAGAATTTAAAAAGAGCTTATTCAGTGTTAAGATTTAAAAGGAGGTACACTGTTCATTTTTATGCTTTAAATTGTTTTTGCCATTGTAAATTGTTTTCTATGCAAGGGTTGTTTTCTGAATAATTACAGCATTACTGAAGAACACTTCTAATTTGGTAACTAAGCAAGATCCTTAGAAATGGTGATAAATGAGACCATTAGAGTGCACAATAGTGAAACTTTATATGGTATTGTTTTAAATTGGTATAAAATTAGCATGCAATAATATTTAAATTTCTAAAACATGGAAATATATTTTTTTAAAATAATTTCATTATTATTCATTTGAATTTTATTCCCTCATGATGTTACAAAGCAATTTCTGTTTGCAATTGGGTCTCTTTTTGGATTGGTCTGTTTGTCCATGAGTTAGTTCCACACTTTTTCAGTGCCACACTTTTAACTATAAATATTTCATAATATGTTTTAAAATCTGATAGAGGTAGCCTTGCTCTTCCTTGTCAGTTAACCACTTTTCTTGGGTTATTCTTACTTTATTATTCAAATTCATTCAAATGAATTTTAAGCAATTCATCTAGGTCCACAAATAAGAGTGGGGCAATAATGGTATTTTTCTGGGATTGTACACACTTTAAATTGACATAGTGAGGACTGACCTCTTGATGATGGTCTTCCTACTCAAGAACACTGGTGCATCTTTCAATTTGTTCAAATTTTTTGTGCCTTAGAAAACAGATGGCCTCTGCTCTGTTGAGCTCAGTTTAGTGGAGAAGACAAAAATAAGTCTAATAGGCTTGTGAACTAATATGAAACCTCCCTGGCGATATGTTCTGCACTTCTATTGGCAGAAATACTAACATTTCTAATGGATTTAATATTTTATAGTAATGTGTTCATTCTATGTTTATCTAGAAGAAATACTAACACGGCTAGGATTTTTATAAGTTGAAATAGGGCAAATTTTATGAAATTATTAAGGACAGTGCAGGGGCAGGCAACATTTTCCTTTTTCCCCTGCGTTATTTTACTGTGTGTTGAAGCTTTGGTTTACTGTTGGGTGTTTATCTTATTGAAGGTGGTATATAATTCTTAGATCTCTTCCTTTGTCCCCATTACGCCCTTCCTGATTTGTTAACCGAATATGAGTGTCACGTACCTACTGTGAAGTTGATGCCCCATTGCATAAGTTAGAAATCCGCTGTCTTGAGAGCTGACTGAAAGGCAGCGTCCTAGACTGTAAGATTTTGAATTAAAGAACTTAAGTTTGCCTATCCACAAAAAATTAAAATTAAGAATCTTGATAGCCAATTTCACCTAGTTTTTTTTTTCCACGTCAATCCTTATTTAGTATGTAGTATTGGCTTCTTAGTTTTGTAAGTCTTCTACTAGTCTACACCTTTCTAGAAAAATGGGATAAAGCAACTGTATTTATAATAAGGTAGACTTGCCTTGCCTAGATTTGTGAGAGAGAAGATAGCGTCTTTATTTAATTCATGAATCAGTAAAGATTTGGCAAAATGTAGAATAATCATAGCTGTACCTTAGAGGAATTAGTTTTGCAAATTTGTGTAAGATAACTTGGAGCAGAAAAGGAGAAGGAGATAAATTAATGGGCTTATAAAGTAATCCAAGTGAGAGAGAGAATGAGTATTTGAATGTGGATAGAGGAAGTAAAACAGAGATTCCTGATAGAGACAACACTATAAGGATATAATCCAGAAACCTTTGTGAAATATTGAATGCAGAGTGTAGACCAGGATGGCAACAAGTCAAGGAAGAAGTTGGGATTTTGGTCTGGCTGATGCAATGTTGCCTCCAGAAATAGAAATGAGAGATTAGGGAAGCATTTGTCTTAGAGGAGTAAATAATGTTTGGAACTTATTGTCAGCACTTAGAAACCAGGTATTAGGACCAGTGAGATGCATCATAGGAGATAGTTTGGGATTAGAGAAGTAGGTTTAGTAGATAATATGGCAGTAGTTGTAATTAAGATCATCAACAGAGAAACTGTTAATATTTAGAAGGCTAAAATTCCTGTGTTGGAGGACATCTGCGAGATGGGTAAAAAGTCAAGGAAAATGGGAGCTGAGCACAGGCTCTTAAATTCGGTGACTTTTTGGAGGGCACTTTAGTGGTGTGACAGCAGTGTAATAAAGAAAAGCTTTCTTTCTCTTCTTTCCATACGTCCTGAATACACACATGACACAAATTAATACTCATGTAACATCTTAAGGAGGACAAAGTGGTATTGTCTTCTGAATACTCCCAGGAAGCAGTATTTAATAAGAGTTAGGCTTTGAATATTCTTGCTACCTTTCCTTCCCTAGTCCCCAGTTCTCTTCCTTGCCCTACTCCTCAACTCCCCATTGGAAAGCTGTCCACCTTTGGTCTTCAAAATAAGAAATATTATAAAAGATTTCATGAGAAAAATGTATCCATAGAACATGCATTATTGAGGACTTTTGCTTTTGTATACTATTAAAAATGCCTGTGTTTTAAGTTTAACATAAAGGCAAGTTTGGGAAAAATTTTAGCCTGGTATCATAGAATTGTCATCTTCTGATACGGTTGAAGAATTGCAGGGTTTGGCATACACTACCCCCAAAATACATTAATGTACATTCTTTTTCTTTTTTAATTAAATCTTAACAGGGTACATTAATACTATCATGGGGTACAGTGTACTGTTTCTCTATACAAGTTGAAGTACTTTCATCCAACTGGTTACCATAGCCTTCATGTCTTTTTCTTAGTTATTGTGTTAAGACATTTATATTCTACATTTAGAGAGATTCACATGTACCCTTATAGGATGAACCATAGGTGTGATCCCGCCAATCACCCTCCCTCTACCCACCCTCCCTTCCCACTCCCCTCTCCCCATGTTCTTGGGCTAAAATTGGGTTATAGCTTTCCTATGAAAGCTATAAATTGGTTTCATAGTAGGGCTGAGTACATTGGATACTTTTTCTTCCATTCTTGGGATACTTTGCTAAGAAGAATATTTTCCAGCTCCATCCATGTAAACATGAAGGAAGTAAAGTGCTGAGGGACCTCCTTCTTTTATACCTTGCCACTGAAAAGTATAAGCAGAGTAGAAACATCAGTTCCAGCTGTTGAAGAAATGTCTGGGACCCATTGTGTTTGTGAAAAAAATCACAGGTGTCAAGACTGCTGTTTTAATTTTGCATTAAAAACATATTGCTCAGAATACATGTTGTACAAAAGCATATAGACTTGACTGTGCCTATATATGTGATTATTTTAAGAAACCAAGTGTCATGGCCACAGAAACAGAACATATTTAGGTCTCTTTCCTGCAGCCTCAGTGTCTTTGGTGTATTGATGTCTTAAATCATAGTTGTAGTTAATATTTGTGTTCATGTTACAGCATCAAAAGTCTAGCGAGCGTAGCAGGCAAGTATCTGGGGTTTTTTTAGTAATATTTCTTTCCAAAATTAATTTATGTCATACCCTATTGAATTACTCTAAGGGATCCAAGTGGGCAAAGTTCTACCTGAGCGAGCTTCTAAAGCATCCTGTCTTTCTGCAGATGTGTGTGGTGTATTCAATTTTCTCCTAATTTTTAATCGCTTGTAATGCCCACCTAATTTTTCAAGTTTAGTCTGATTAATTATTTCATGTATAGAAATCATTAAAATCGTTCTCTGTGTTACAGAGCTGCTATTAAATGATAATTAGCATTTATACTTCATGAGACATATAAGGGTAAAATCAGCAATAAAAGTTTACGGTCCACCAGTGGCCAGAATTGATTCTCTGCCTGGCCTGTTTATGATTAATGACTGCTTTACGAAGTGCCATTTTACCCAAGAATCTCAATTTACTACAGGAATAAACTAAACTACCTTCCTTCTTAATAAAATAGTAACTAATAGCTATGCCGATAGTGAGATAAAAATGTCTATTTAGTTTCATCAGCCTTTTTTTAAAAATAGCTATGTTCAGGCAATAACAATGTAGCTATTTGTAGCCTCTCTGTTCATTGTTTTTTGTTTGCTGTTTTATCTGAAGACTGACAGTAAACTCTAGTCTGATGTTTGATGTAAACCTAGATTGGTTAGATTTTGTTAGAGAGATGTATTTAATTGTCCTCCATTATGTGGAAGGAGACTGGTAGTTGGGCTGTGACTTGTGAATGCTCTTAAAAACTACATTTTTTTGTAGTTTTTTGTAGTTGTTGTTCCTGTTGGAGGCATTTTACTTAATCAACAGAAGGCCTTATTTTATATCATTGCTCACCCTTTTTTCTTTCTGTCCAGGATTTTGGCTTGTGATATTAATCTCTAGATATTATATTGGCAGTCATTTACTTTACACATAGATGTAATTACAGTTAACTAGAAAATGGTGCTTTTGTTTCAAAATGTCATAAGGAGATTAAAAATCTACTTCCAGACAGCTTATTGAAAGCCTTAGTAGCAGGTCCGATGGTCTGTAGCACGTCCAATGGTCCGTAGCACACATCCGTCCCCTACTCCCTGGGTCTCTCTGTCACCATCACCATGTTGTGGCTCACCTTTCAGAGGCGGCATTGCCTCCAGCTTTGCTCTTGTTACTTTTGTGTGGTGAGTACAAGGCCTTTGTCAGGAGCTTCTGCTTTTAACTTTAGATGAAATAGGTTTCTTTCTTTGTCAGCCCCAGGCTTGTTGTGAATCTACATACTTTAGTCTGTTCTCGTGAGAAAAAATTATTCTGGCTCCTCCTTAGTTTATTATGCATACAAATTAGACAATTAGTGGAAATGCAGTCTTTGGAATGGACTGGACCTGGGTTTGATCCCAGCCCTGCTTACCTCTGGGATGTTTTATCTGTCAACCCTTCACTCCTTTCCACACTGACCTTCTTTCTGTTCTTGGAAGTTGTGTGTCTCTTGCCGTTACACTTCTACTCTTGAGACCTGCTTCTTTGCATCACTCTGCACAAGTATTACCTGCTCAGGTCTTCCCTGACCACTCTGCTTTTAAAATAACTGCTCTCCACATCAATCTCTCTCTCTCTCTCTCTGCTCTGCTTTATTTTTTTCACAGCACATCATTATTTTAATTTGTTTACTTGATTAAAGTGTAATTCCCTCTGCAGAGTGAAGCTCCTTGATGGAGGGAAGTATCTTAATACTGTATCTCCCACCTCTGAAGAGTAGGTACTTGAGAAATACTGGCTTTAGACATGTAATTTAACCTTGTTGAGCCTATTTAGTCATCTGTAAACTGAGAGTAATGAAACATCTCTCCTGTGGGTAAGGTAAGATTATATAACATAAGCACTTACTTAACACATAGTAGGCTCATTTTCCTACTTTCAGGCCCTCTTCCAGAACTTAGAGATTCAAGATGATATAGCATTTTAGATTTCCTTGTCATTATGACAGCTTATCTAAAATGTCAGCTCTTCAATCTTGAAACAAGTAACTTAGTTGTATTTCCAGTTCACATATCCTTTTCTGGCAATGCTGAAAAGTTTGGACCTTTTTCTTTCTTTCTTTCTTTCTTTTTTTTTTTTTTGAGACTCACTATGTCACCCTCAGTAAAGTACTGTGGAGTCACAACTCACAGCAACCTCTAACTCTTGAGCTAAAGTGATTCTCTTGCCTCAGCCTCCCGAGTAGCTGGGACTACAGGCATCCACCACAGTGCCCAGCTATTTTTTTACTGTAGTTGTCATTGTTGTTTAGCAGGCCTAGGCCAGGTTCAAACCCGCCAGCCCCAGTGTACGGCGCCCTAGCCACTGAGCTACAGGCGTTGAGCCTTTTTCCTTAAAAATGTACCTGTATAGCTGATACATTTTACAAGCACATGCTACCTCTGTAATCTCAGCTACACAGGAGGCTGAAGCAGGATGATCACTCAAGCCCAGAACTTGGAGATCACCTGGGCAACATGGTAAGACCCTGTCTCAAAAAAAGAAAATAAATATACCTTTGCACCTTAGCTAGAGCAGTCCTGCCTGTGTTGATTTTCTGTTGTTGCATAACAAGTTAACAACGTATAGTGTTTCAGATCAGAAGTCTGGGCACAGCATGGCCAGGCTCACAGCTCATGGTTTTATAGACCAGAAATCAAGGGGTAAGCCAAGGCTGCAGTCTCATGTGAAACTTGGGGTCCTCTTCGAAGATCATGTGGTGCTTGGCAGAATTCAGTTCCTTGGGGCTGTAGGACTGTGGCCCCTTACTCCTTGTTAGCTATCAGCCAGGGACTGACCACCCTAGAGGCTCCTTCAGGGCCTTGCCATGTGTCATCTTGAGCAGTTCACAGTATGTCTGCTTGCTTCTCTAAGGCCAGCAGTTAGATCTCTCCATTCAAATCTCTTCTTTCAGGAAAGCCTGGTTTCTTTTAAGAGGTGGCTTGATAAGTCTGACTCCAGGATAATTTGCCTTTTGATGAACTCAGAGTTAACTGATTAGGGACCTTAATTGCAACTATAAAATCTCGTCATTGTTATCACATAACCTAATCATATTCAGGAGGTCCACCCACACTCAAGAGAGATTATATGAGGTGTGTACATTTATAATAGAAATACTGGGCCATCTCAGAATTCTTCCCATCATGTTGCCATAAGTAAAAGGTTTTGTTTGGGGGAGGTCAATTGTCATCTCAAATATACTCAGCAGATGCGAGGTTTTTCCTCCCACTAGTGCTTTTGATAAACAATACCAAAATATTAACTGTTTGAGAAATAGTTTGGTTTTAGAGTTGTCTCACCCTGAAGTTGTTTCTATATTAGGTAAAACAGATTTTTTTCTTAAATTTGGAAAAGTAACTCCCAATTAATTGCTGGATGTTAAAATTTTCAAAAAAATTTACTTTAAGAAATTATATTGCCTTCTACCACTGTAACTTAGCATTGTGAATTGAGCGCTTGACATATTTAGAAAGTTAATTATACCCTTTTACAAAACAAAGATAACTTTCTTTTACAGGCAAGTCTGTATCTAGCTACTTTTTATTCTGAATGATGGTGTGGATTAGATTTATTACATTAGGTTGTGCTAATAGTACATTGAGCAAAATTTAAAATGGTATGATGTCCTGGCCATTATCAAGCTGATTTGTACTGGAATAAACAATGATATAGTAGATAACCTATTTAAAGCCATATGTGCAATAAACTTGACACTTGTTGAGAGCCATGTGAAAATTACTTTATTGGTTTAATTAAGGAATTGCTCATGTACCAAATGACATCCATCCCACAGGAAAAAATACTAATTTCTTCTTTAAAAATGAATGTCTAGGGTGGTGCCTATGGCTCAAAGGAGTAGGGCGCCAGCCCCATATGCTGGAAGGGGTAAAAACACTGCAAAAAACTGGGGTTTTTTGCTGGCCAAAAACTGCAAAAAAAAAAAAAAAGAATGTCTATACTTAATACAGACAGTTGATAAAATTCTAATTATTGTTTGGCTTTTAAAGATGTGCAAATATTATTGCCATTGGATAACTAATATGAATCAGTAGGCCAGGTAAGAGATAGATAGAATTTAATTTTCTAGCTCAAATATCTGGTTTTGTATTATGGCCTTGATATCTGTGTATTTCTGTGTCTTCCCTGCCTGTCTCACCTGCATTTTCTGAAAGCTCTCTTATATTCCTTGTTGCTAACCATGGTTATCTGCTCCCCTTTTATCTCCAGGGATGCTCTCAAACTGGTCCAGTTGAAACAGGCAGGCAAGATCACTGAGTCCAGACCTGCTGCAGCCCCTGTAGCCACTCCCACAGCACCTTCACCTCCACAGGCCGCAGCTGGGCCATCGTATCCCCGGCCAATGATCCCACCAGTATCAGTTCCGGGACAACCTAATGCCGTGGTAACATCCTCTGACTACATTTTTATTTTTCAGATTTCAGTGAGAGGGAAAATAAGAGCAGTTATTCTGTGTATTATGGTTACTTTTACCAGTCCATTTTAATAGTACCCAAAGGTGATAAAGAGGAAACACTCCAGATGCTTTGTTTTACAGATTTCCTAGCAGAAATCAAATTTATTTGTACGATACTAACTTCTAAATAGAACATTAGAACTATGCTTTTATTTAAATTAATCACAAGTTCCACAGCTTCAGTAACATATACACAGTATATGTTCTATTCTCATGATACTTTTTGTGTATTTTTTTCCTCCCACTCCATACTGCCAATTGGTAGCCGACACTAACCCCCTTGTGTGGATATGTTTCATTTTTTGATTAGAGAATGATAGTCTGACTGTGAAGAACTATGTAGCCTATAAGGCCACTGACTCCTTCCTTCTCATACACATGTGTATAATGATCCTTTTCTGTTTTCAATTTACTCCATTCTGCCTTGCTGCCCCTCCTTTCCTGGTACCTTTCAGGTCATTTGTTTTCCATCAAAAGTATGAGGTTAACAAGTTTATTTGAATTGAGTAGGCACTTTTTAAAAAAAAATTAAAAGAAGAAAAATAAATAAATCTATCCTGCTCCTTATAATCGAGAAATACATTCCAGTATATTTTCAAAGGGTTGAAACAGTAAAAGTTTCATGGGAAAAAGATTTTTAAATGTTTATAAATGATTCATGACTACATACACAAAAAACTTTGTGTAGTCCCATCTAAAGTAGGTTATTCAGATTAGTAAGGTAAACCTTAATTTCACATTCTTCTGATATGTAGTGAGCATTTATTCTATTTGATCAAGTACTTTGCTAACATAAAATACTTAATTCTTTGAGAGTATTTGTAGAAATGAAATCAGCTGCACTGTCAGCTGCTTTGTATTCTCTTGAAGTGATTATAAGGAAATCCCAAAACAGAGTGAAGACAAAGAAGGAGTCAAATGTAATTTAAGGCCCATCACGCTTTTGTGAGTGGTTCAAGAAACAAAATGGAAAAGCTACAGTGAAGTTGTAGGAAGGTTTTATTACCTCATTCATCCTTTCTATTATCAGTTCCTAGGAAAGAAGATATTCATCTGATTTTTAAAAACTACAGATCAAAATAGAAATAATTGGCACATTATTTAGTATATTGGATTATTTTTTGTCGTATACCATTTTTATAAAAATTGTCCCTAACTTGAGATAGTTTAACTTAACAATTTTTCAACTTTATAATGGCCCAAAAGCAATACACATTCAGCAGAAAGCAGCATGATACTCCCGTGCCACTCTGGGCAGCTGCAGCAAGCCTCAGTGCCCAGTCAGCCACGTGGTCACAGGTTAACAATCAGCAATATGCAGTGTACGGTCTTGGCAGATGATTTTGCCCATCTGTAGGCTAATGCATAATAAGTGTTCTGAGCATGTGCGAGGTAGACCAGTCTGATATTTAGTGGATTAGGTGTATTAAATGCATTTTCAATTCATGGTATTTTCTTCTTAAAGTGGGTTTATCAGGACACAGCCCCGTCGTAAATTAGGGAGCATCTGTAGTTGATTTGTTGATTTATTGGCTACTTTGAGTTTCATTAAGTGATACTTATAACAAAAGCAACTTTATAGGTAGAGTGCGTGTGTGTGTGTTTGTGTATATATGTGTGTATATACATGTATAATCTACCTGTATGTAGAGAAAGGATGCGAAAAATGTATACATATTATAAGAAGTGGAACAAATTGTATTTAAATTGTAATATTCAAATCATCTTTGACTTATCTAATTATAAGAGATACATTATATAAGATAACAAATGTTATCGGTATATACTGAGCATTAAAATTTTATATTCATAATTCTCCTGCCTCCTTCCCTATCCTCTGCCTCCCAGCACTGTGTCTGTATGGTATATACATATATGTAGTATATGTATATATTTATATGTGTATATGTATATACACATATACACACATCTATGGGGGAATTATTCATTTAGTAGATTTCTTTTCCTCCACATAAACATAGTAGCATAAAATGTCCCATTCACAACTGAAACATGAATTTCACTACTTTTTTCTGTAGTGATACACTTTAAAGCCAAAATTCCTCAGATTTTTTTATATTCTCTCATATACTAAGACATTTTTAATAGTACTTTTCCTCTATTAACCTTTAGTCAACATCATAAGTTTTAGATCACTAGAATGAATTTCACTTATTGCTCTTTTTTTGTTTATAGGGCACATTCACTGAAATCCCTGCTAGCAATATTCGAAGAGTTATTGCCAAGAGGTTAACTGAATCTAAAAGTACTGTACCTCATGCATATGCTACTGCTGACTGTGACCTTGGAGCTGTTTTAAAAGTTAGAAAAGATCTGGTCAAAGGTTAGTGAAGTTGAATTTACTTAATGTAAATATATATGCTAACTTTCATGAAATCTTTCATTTATAAAGTTCATATTGTGCAGCTTTTTATTTCAGTTTCATGATTTACTTGCTGTCTATTCTGGGTCTATTTTTCTACTAGAGAAAAAAAAAATTAGTTCTGTTTTCCTCTAAGAAATATATCGGCTTGGCTTGACACCTGTAGCTCAGCAGCTAGGGCGCCAGCCACATACTCTAGAGCGGGAGGTACAAACCCAGCTCAGGCCTGCCAAACAACAATAGCAACTCAAACCAAAAAATAGCCGAGCATTGTGGCGGGCGCCCGTAGTGCCAGCTACTTGGGAGGCTGAGGCAAGAGAATCGCTTAAGCCCAAGAATTTGAGGTTGCTTTGAGCTGTGATACCATGGAACTCTACCAGCGGAGTCCCGCTGTCTGTTACACACTGAGATCTGCAAACGCAGAGTAAGCATTCCGAATCTAGAAATCCAAATTGTTCCATAATCCGTAACTTTTTAAGTGCCAACACAATGCTCAAGGGAAATCCTCATTGGAGCATTTCGGAGTTTGGATTTTCACATTAAGGATACTGAGGGGGTAAGTATAATGCAAATATTCCAAAATGTGAAAAAATGTGAAATTTGAAAGAGTTCTTGTCCTAATCATTTTGGATAAGGGATACTCAACTTGTAGTACATGGTTTGGGTTGGTTGAGTTGTTTTTGTTTTTGTTTTTTAAGCATAAATAAGCTTAATTGTTTTGATTTGCTTTAGCTTTTACATAGGTGAATATTTTATAAGGACTTCTGAATGACTTGCTCAGACCAATTGGCTATTTTTGTTTTGAATACGTTTTGGTATGATATTTTTTAAAATGGTAATTCTTAACATTTTAGCAAGTTTGAAATAGAAAACTTTTTTTTTTTTTTTTTTGAGGCTGAGTCTCTTACTATGTTGCCCTAGGTAGAGTGCTATGACATCACAGCTCACAGCAACCTCAAACTTGGGCTTAAGCGATTCTCTTGCCTCAGCCTCCCAAGTAGCTGGGACTACAGGCGCCCGCCACAAGGCCTAGCTATTTTTTGGTTGCAGTTGTCATTGTTGATTTTAGCTGGCCTGGCCCCAGTTTGAACCTGTCAGTCTCAGCATACAAGGCCAGTTCCATAGCCACTGAGCTATGGGCACTGCCACAAAACTCTATTAATGTTTTAAATTATAAATTTTCATACTTTTCTTTAATGTTTTAATTTTATATTTCTTATTCTAAATGCATTTTTAGTTATTAAATTTTTAACATTCCTCCCAAAATCAATTAAAAATAAGGTTGCTGCAAGACATGGGTTTTTAGAATGAACTGGTAGTTTTATATCTTGATTTCCAATCTGTATGGCTCTTGTCTTACTGCACTGACCAGGACTTCTGATATAATGATGTATGCAGATGGTAAAAGCTGGCATTTTTGCTGCGTTCCTGATCTTGATGAGAAAGCATTCAATCTTTAACATTAGCTGTAGAGTTTTTATGGATTATCTTTTCCAGATTGAGAAGTTCCCATTCCTAATTTAGTGAGAGTTTTAATCATGAATGGATATGGAATTTTGTCAAACACTTTTTGTGCATCTTTTGAGATAATCTTTTCTTTTTTCTATCTGTTAATATGGTGAATTACATTGATTGATTTTCAGATGTTCAATCTACTTTATTTTCCTCATTTGAAACCCATTTAATCATTAACTTTCTCTTATATTGCTTGATTCCATATTCCAAAACTTTGTTAAGAATCTTGGCCGGGCGTGGTGGCTCACGCCTGTTGTCCCAGTGCTGTGGGAGGCCAAGGTGGGTGGATGGCTGAGCTCAGCCGAATTCGAGACCAGCGGAAGACCAGCATGAGCAGGGTGAGCCAGAGTGAGACCCCGTCTCTACAGAAAAAAAAAAAAAAAAGGAATCTTTACACCTATGTCCATGAGAAATACTACTGTGTAGGTTTCTTTTCTTGAGGTGTTTTTCTCTGGTTTTTTTTTTTTTTTTTTAATCAGATATAGTAGAATGGACTGGGAAATATTTTCTTCTCCTTTATTTTCTGGAAGAGTTTGAGTACATTTGGTATTATTTCTTTTTTTAATTGTTTGGTAGAATTCATTAGTAAATTTCTTTCAGAGAATTTTTAACTACAAATTTAATTTTTAAAATAGAAGTTATTTTTTCTTGGATGAGCTTTGGTAGTCTATGTCTTTCAAGGAATTTGTGTCATTTATTTAAGTTATCAAATTATTGGCATAAAATTGTTCATATTACCTTATTATATTTATAACATCTATCTTTTGTGTAATCTGAAATGATGTCTCAATTTTCGATATTAGTAATTTATGTCTCTCTTACTTTCTAGATCAGTCTGATTGATGAGTTAACAATTTGATTGATCTCTTAAAAGAGTGAGCATTTAGAGGCCAGCCACGGTGGCTTACATCTGTAATCCTAGCATTCTGGGAGGCTGAGATGGGTGGATTGCTTGAGCCTGTGAGTTCAAGACCAGCCTAGGTCAAGCAAGAGCAAGACCCTGTCTCTATAAAATATACAGGCATTGTGGCAGGCACCTGTAGTCCCAGCTACTTGGGAGGCTGAGGCAGAAAGATCACTTAAGCCTAAGAGTTTGAGATCACTGCAATGCCACGGCACTCTACCAAAGGTGATGAAGTGAAACTCTCTCTCAAAAAAAAAAGAATGAGCATTTGGTTTTATTAATTATAGAGCAAGTTGGCTCCCAATACTTTTTTGCCACTTTTATCTGAAAAAGTCTGCCCTTTTTTTCTTTTTTAAAAAATTTTATAATTGTGGTTGAATATATATAACATAAATTTTATAATTTTAACCATTTTTAAGTGCACACTTAGTTAATTAGCAGTAAGTACCTTCATATATTTATGTAATCATGACCACCATTCATCCACAGAAGTTTTTTCATTTTGTGAAACTCAAACACTGTACCCATTAAACAGTAACTTCCCTTTCCTCTTTCCCCCTACCTATGACAACCACCATTCTACTTTCTGTCCCTATAAGTTTGTCTTCTCTAAGTCCCTCTTATAAATGAGCTTACACAGTACTTGTCCTTTTTACTCTGGCTAATTTCAGTTGGCATTATGTCTTCAAGGTTCATCTATGTTGTAGCATGTGCCAGAATTTCCTTCCTTTTTAAGGCTGAATAATATTTTATGGTATGTATGTATTTAGGTATGTATGGTATGTATTTTACTTATTGTATGTATGGCATATATTTTATTTATGGTATGTATATACCATATTTTGTTCATTCATTTGCCAGTAGCTGAATCCATTAGGTGGTTTTGACCTTCTGGCTGTTGTGAATAATGCCGCTACAAATGTGAATGTGCAAGGACTTCTCTGTGTCTCTGTTTTTAGATCTTTTGAGTTTATCCCCAGAAATGGAATTCGTAGATCATATAATTCTACCTTTACTTTTCTGAGGACCTGCCATACTGTTTTCCATGTGGCTACATCATTTGCATTCCCGTCAGCATTGCACAAAGGTTCTCTTTTCTCCACATTTTTCCCAACACTTGTTACTTTATGTATATATGTATTTTTTTTTTTTTTTTAGCTGAAGTAATCCCAATGGGCATATCTTCTTCATTTTTGGAAGACATTTTTGCTGGGTATAGAATTTTGAATTAGCCAGATGTTTATTTCGTTACTTTAAATAAAGATACCATTCTGTTGTCTTCTGGCTCACAAAATGTCTGCTGCCATTTTCAGTATTTGTTCCCCTATGTGTTCTGTTTTTTCTTTCTCTGGTTGCCTTTAAGATTTTCACCATTAGCAATTTGACTGTCACATGCCCACATTTTTTTTCTATCGTATGTTTTCTGTTTGGGTTTTTTGCAGCTTCTTAGATTTGTGGTTTGTTGTCTTGCTTTAAGTGTGAAAATGTTTCTTTTTTTTTTTTTTTGAGACAGAGCCTCAAGCTGTCCCCCTCGGTAGAGTGCTGTGGCATTACAGCTCACAGCAACCTCCAACTCCTGGGCTCAAGCGAGTCTCCTGCCTCAGCCTCCCAAGTAGCTGGGACCACAGGCGCCCGCCACAACCCCTGGCCATTTTGTAGTTGCAGCCATCATTGTTGTTTGGCGGGTCCGGGCTGGGCATTTGAACCCGCCACCTTAGGTGTACGTGGCTGGCGCCTTAGCCGCTTGAGCTATAGGCGCCGAGCCATGTGTGAAAATGTTTCAGCTGCACTTTTATCTCTCCCTTCATGGATTTTTTCTTTGGGACTTCGATTATAAGTGTTAGACTTGATGACTTTTCCACAACTCTTACGTGTCCATTTTCTCTTGTTTATTCTTTTCTCTCTTTGTGTTTCAGTTTGGGTAATTTTTGTTGACTTAGCTTCAACACCGATGCCTGTCTCTGCTTTGTTGTTCCCTCCTACTTTATCCTCTTCACTCCTGTGGTCTGACAGGGGGCAATCACTTCCTGTGTTGGTCTGTCCCGGGAGTTGATCATCACAGTTTGGAGTTTAGTTCACTGTTTGCTTTGTGACCTGAGCTGCCTAATGGGCTCAAGAAAAGTTATGATTTTGTAGTTTATCCTGCATTTTATTTTACCCTGTTAGGGTAGGAACAACTTTCTTTTGCAGCTTTCTTCATTCTAAGTGAAAGCAGGGCCTATAAATCAGTTTACATACAGATTTTTCAAGATTTCATATAAAGACAACCTGACTTTATTTTTTTCTCCTCTCCTCCCCTCCTTTCTCTTCCCCTCCTATTCTCTCTTCTTTTCTTCTCTTTTTTGACACAGACTTTCTCTCTTTCACCCAGGCTAAAGTAAAGTGCAGTGTTTCCAGTGCACTGCAACCTTGAACTCCTGGGCTCATATGATCATCCTATCCCAGCCTCACAAATAGCTAGCACCATAGGCATGCACCACCATGACCAGCTAATTTTTAAAAAAACTTTTTTGTAGAGACAGGGTCTTGCTGTGTTGCACCTGACCTCAAGCAATACTCCCAGCTTGGCTTCCCAAAGTGCTGGTATCAGACGTGAGCTACTGTGCCTAGCACTGTTGACTTTTAGAGGTCAAGGAACTAAATGGAATACTATTTCAGAGAAAGTGATACATTTCTAAAAATTAACCCTGCAAGTCCCCCTTATAGTTCTCAGGTCATAACTTGCCTGAGATAGCTTGCCTGAGTTATGATATAGAAGTTTAATGTGAAAATACTTTTGCTGTTCACCTACTGATGAGGCAGTAATCAGTAATGCTTTAATGAATATTTGGATTAGTTGAATATCTTTGCTTGGAACAGGTTTGATATGTTTTTATAATTAAGAATTTTCTCATGAATCTTAGGAGTACACATAATCTTTGCTCCTCGTTCTTATAGGAGGTTATAATTTACCTTTGCTTTTGTAACTTGACAATATGCAAATGAAAATGTCTCCTCAGTGTCATCAGTCTCCTTTCACTATGTTTGAAAATTTTTGTAATACGGAGTTAAAAGTAAAGGAATTTGAAAAGAAAACTCCTTTACATATGTTAGCATTGAAGGTTCCTGTTAGCCACGTTAATAGAAATGTCATGTGAAAAGATACATACGATGACTCTCAGAGAGTATCCAGCCACGTAGTATGAAAAATAGAGAATACATGGCTGGATATTTTCCAGATAGCCCTTGTATACAAGTCTGAAGCTCCAGTACAGGCGTCCTCGAACTACAGCCCATGGTCACATGTGGTCCGCCGAGGACATTTATCCAGCCCTCCAACGGTCTGAGGGACAGTGAACTGGCCCCCTGTTTAAAAAGTTTGAGGACCCCTGCTCCAATACATTGGGATTAGAGGTAGAATTTGGAGGATCCATCATTATATATAGTATCAAAACCGGGGAACTCAATGTTCCTGCCTGGAGAGATGCCAAGAGGAAGGGGCTGAAAGTGAGTGGGCAGGCAGAGTAGAAGGAAACCTGCAGAGTATAGTGACACCGGAGCCAAGAAGAGAAAGTCAACTTGAGATGCTGCTGAATGTGGGGGTATTTGAAGACAATTTTAGGTGAGGACTTAGGCAGTAGGTGTGGGGGTCATCAACCGGTGGTTGGTTTTAGAAATCTTTGCTGTGAATACCTGTGAATGATAGTATAGTAGAAACAGTGAGAAGGAGGCTGAGAGAACCATGAGAGAGAAGCAGAGTGAGTTCTTAAAATACTGTGTCCACATATTTGAATTTGTGCAGAGCAAATCTTTTATATATGCTTAGCATTGAAAATCTCTCAGCTCTGGATATCCATTTATATTTATATATATTCTACTCCTAAAGAAGTTTTTTATTTCTTTCATTTGTTTATTTATTTTTAAAACAGAATCTCACTTTGTTGCCCTCGGAAGAGTGCGTTGGCATCATAGCTCACAGCAGCCTCAAACTCTTGGGCTGAAGTGATCCTCTTGCCTCAGCCTCCCAAGTAGTGCTGGGACTACAGGTGCCTGCCACAATGCCTGGCTAATATTTTTAGAGACAGGATCTTGCTCTTGCTCAGGCTGGTCTCCAATTCTTAAGCTCAAGCAGTCCACCCATCTTGGCCTCCCAGAGTGCTAGGATTATAAGCATGAGTCACTCCCCCCCCCCCAGCCCCTAAAGGAATTTTAAATAAACATACAAATATGTTTGTGGAGATCGGAATTAGAAGTGTGATACTGTGTAGCTGACAGTTACCATGACAGTTTGACGGTATTTAGGTTTATGGTAATTCATCTAGTCTCTTTCTGAAGTCTGCAGCGTGCCTTTGGAATGAGGTGTTGTTCACCTAAAATTCCATAATACCCTAGTAACAGGATATGTATTTCATGCCACATACCATGGACTAGATCTTGATCTTCAAGTTTTTTTCTAGAAGCTTTTGCAAGAAGAAATCGAGTGTGGTTGTATTTTCCAACACTTTTATGCTTATAGACAGAAACAAATGAAGCAAGTGCTTTAGTTACAATCAGCTCTGTTGGAAGTGGAGGGACCCCAGCTTTATTCTAAGATTATTATGTATACGGGAAAGAAATTAATTCAAATGGATTCACTATCAAACTAAACAGGGAGCCTCATTTTACTCACCGCACTAGGACCTATGCCAGCATTGCTTCATCGTTGGCGTTTGTTGTATCCTGTTTTGTTAAGTTAAAAAGCAGCTCTTGTTTAATGCAGCAGTCTCAAGTTTTTTCCATATACACCCCATTAGTAAAAAGAAATTTTTGAAAAGTCCTCCATATGTATATGTGTATGATTGTTTATATAAAGTACCTTCATAGGCCTCTGTTCTGATATGATAAATATTATAAACCATCTAGAGAATAAGAGCATCTGAAAAGGATGAGAAAAAATGAATCATCTTGTAAACTTCTGGCTTCACTATACCACAGAGACCGTTTGTCTCTTTGGAGACATAGGAGTTGGTTCTATTTTTTTTCAATGGATTATGCATGTAATATGTCCTTCAAGTTCCCATGTATGATGTCTGAGCAATTTTTAAAATTGTAATTAAGGCCTAGAAGTAAACTTTTATACTTATGGTTACTATTATTTATCCGGGACCTCATATAATACAAGTTTTTCTAATCAGAACTTTATCGATTAAGCAAACAAAAGCCTGTAATATTTTTTATCAGTATTTGTTACCACATTCCATAATTTACAAGTTTGAAATCACAATGATCAGTATTAGTTATACTATGAACACTAGTTTTACTGTGCTGATTTTTCTTTCAGATGACATTAAAGTATCAGTAAATGATTTTATCATCAAAGCAGCAGCCGTTACCCTCAAAGTAAGTAGCAAAGCCCAAATAATTTTGTCTTTAAAGGAATTTCATGGCTTAGAATTTTTATAATGATACATAGAACTCTTATTTTTAAGTCACAAAACTTTTATAATTTTATTGATAAAAATATCATTTAATCTCCCTGTTTCACAGATGAAGAAACTCTAAATCAAAAAGGCTCCAAACTAATTATAGAATAAAAACCATTCATTCAGCAAATACTAATTGATCCCCCATTTTATGCTAAATACATTCTAGGCATGGAATGTAGAGTGGACAAAAGCCTACCTGATTTCTGCTCTAATGGCACTTGTGTGTTCACTGGGGAGATAACAGATAAGTCAGATAGTGGAAGTGCTGAGGAGCAAAAGAAAGCCGGGTAAGGGGACAAAGTAACTGAGGGCATCTTGTCCAAACCTGAAGCCAGGGAAGCCCTTCTGAACAAGGCCTGAGAAGAGAGGAGTGAGCCAAAGAGGGATCTGGTAGAAGAGCATTCCACGTGGAGCCTCCCACAAGCTCCCAGGCTGTGAAGAGTGGTCTGTTATCCACAGACGCGGTGTGAGGGGTGGTGTGCCTAGAGTAGACTTTGTAAGGCGGGGAGAGGGTAGGGGGTGAAGTTTTTAGAAAGGTGGAGGAAGAGAAGAAGGGGGACTAAAGTACTGCGAACATGATGCTTTGTTGGCCATGGTGGGACCACAGTTTTTATTATGAATGAGAAGGAAGCCTGTGGAGGGTTTTAAGCAAAGGACTAAGGTGATCAGACTTATACTTTAAAAACAAAAAGGACAGACTATGCTCAGTGTTTAGTAGAATACAGCAGGAGAGGCAAGGGTGGAAGCATGAGCGCCCTAGGAGGCGGTAGGAGACGACAGTGGCTTGCCCAAAGGTGGTAGCTTTGCGACTGGGGTGAAGTGGACATCCTGGTTCTGTTTCTAAGTATAGCTAACAGGATCTGCTGATGAATTGGATGTGGGGTGTGAAAGACTAAAGATTTGGGACAGGGCACTGGGAGGAATGGAGTTTTCCCTGTACTAAGATTGAGGAAAGTGGGAGAAAAGTAGGGTTTGGGGAGTGGGGTTGGATTTTTTTGTGACAAGAGTCTCTCTCTGTCATCCTGGGGAGGGTGCCATGGTGAGCTCACAGAAACCTCAAACTCATGGGCTCACGCGATCCTCTTGCCTCAGTTTTTCTATTTTTAGTAGAGACTGAATCTCACTCTTGCCTGTCAGGCTGGTCTTGAACTCCTGAGCTCAAGCAGTCCCCTGGCCTCGGCCTCCCAGAGTGGTAGGATTACAGGCGTGAGCCACAGCGCTCGGCCAGGAGAAAAGTAGGTCTGAGGTGAGGAATTCTGAGTTTGGTGCCAGACATGTTAAATTTGAGGAGCCTAGTGGAGGTGGTAGGAAGGCAGGTGTGCATGAGCCTGCGGTTCAATGGCATTGTCTGGCAGGAGATATCAATCGACTGGGACCCAGGCTTCCTGCCTTCCTGCTCAGCACCAGTTTCCACCGTGCCGTCTCTGTAACGAAGCTATTTTCTGGCCTGGGCTGGGTTTGAACCCACCACCTCCAGCATATGGGGTTGATGCCCTACTCCTTGAGCCACAAGTAACACCCGAAGCTATTTTCTGGGATCACTGCTGGTTAACACCGCTATATTTAAAGTACATTTATTTATATTGAATTTATTTTTACTTCTTAGAAAATATATTAATACAGAACGTTAAAGATGTGTGCTTTTTTAGCATACATCTAATTCTTCATATCACTTTTCTCTTTTGACCAAAAAGTTTGGATTATATTACAGATTTTCTAGTTGTGAATCATTTTTGCATTCCGTCAATGTAGCTCTGGTGGTCCATAAGCTATTTGTTAATATTTCATTGCATAATTTTATTCCCAGAATCATATGTAGTTATAATTTCAATCTGGTACTAGCTTTATAGGCTTTTTTATCATTGGATTCAATAAACTTATTTGGATTTTTTTTTCTTTTTTCTGTGCTTATTTCAATATTATAAGGATTTGTATTTCTTATAGTTTTATAGACTCGCCATTAGAAATACCTGAACTTCGTTTTATTTTGAGGGGAATCTAGGCAACTTTCTCATTGTATCCCCATAATTACTGATCTAATTCTCAACTTTTTCTTAAATCAGTTTTAGAAGCTTATTGTTTTCCTAGAAAATCCCTCATTTTATCTAGATTCCCAAAGTTACTGGCCTAGAATGATTTAAATTTCTTTCTTATGGTTCCTTTAATGCCCTCAGTGCCTGGGGTTATTTTAAACTCTTTCTCTTGCTGTTGTAGTTTTATGTTCTTAGCTGACCTTGATTTGTTACGTATCTCTTCCTTCAATTCTTTTTTTTTTTGAAACAGAGCCTCAAGCTGTCCCCCTGGGTAAAGTGCTGTGGCTTCACTGCTCATAGCAACCTCCAACTCCTAGGCTCAAGCGAGTCTCCTGCCTCCGCCTCCCAAGTAGCTGGGACCACAGGCACCTGCCACAACGCCCGGCTATTTTTTGGTTGCAGCCATTATTGTTTGTTGGGGCCAGGCTGGATTCGAACCCGCCACCTTAGGTGTATGTGACTGGCACCTTAGCTGCTTGAGCCACAGGCGCCGAGCCTCTTCCTTCATTTCTTGGGTTCATTTTGGGTAGAAATATTTGGCTAGAAAACTTAAATGTGTCATGTAAATTTTTTTATAAATGAGAAGGTTTAATTCAAGACTGTATTTTTTCTTGATACAACTCAGACTATATTGCATAGATTTTTGTTACATAATTTTGTGATAAAATTTATATTTGCCAAGATGTTCTTCCTTTGTAAGGTTTTCTTTTTCTTGGTTTATATGTGTGTGTGTGTGTGTGTGTGTCTGTTAGTGTTGTCTGTGAATAATTTAAAATCTTCTGAGGAATTGAGACTTAATTGATTCTTTTGACATAGTGACATTGTTAAATGAATGAAGGAGCTGAGCCTTGGAAAGTGGGAAAATTAAAAGAACAATTAGGTGCCAGCCACATACACCAGAGCTGGCGGGTTCAAATCGGCCTGGACCTGCCAAACAATGACAACTACAACCAAAAGATGGCCAAGCAGTGTGGAGGGCGCCTGTAGTCCCAGCTACTTGGGAGGCTGAGGCAAGAGAATCACATAAGCCCAGCTTGAGGCTCTGTCTCAAAAAAAAAAAAAAATGCCATGAAGGTGCTCTCAAAATGGAAATGAGCATAGCAAGACAGTGGGAAATTCCTCTGAGGGGTGGTCGCAAGTAAAATGGATTGGCAGCGTGGAATCAAACTGTAGCACCCTGCTTAAATGGCAGGCAGGGAGGTCTGGATCTCCTGTAGAAAGCAAGAAAGTTTTGAGAAGAGAAATTCCTTTTTTATTTCTGTTTTTTAGCATCATTTTGCCTGTGACATTTGGCAGCATCGTCAGTGTACACTGTTTCCAGGCATTTAGTCATTTTGTCCATTTTTTTAATCCTTAATATAGTTGCTTGTATGTTAGATGTATGTATGCTCATACATATGCATCACGTTTATGAAGCTTAGAAGCCTCTTTTTAAGTAGAGAAGTCATTTACTGAGGGCCTGCTAATATACAGCGTACCCCAGTGCTGGGCTAGAAAGTCAGACTTCTTTATGCCAGAGGAATAATGTAGTTGAATAGCACGGCTGTTTTCTGATCCCCTCAACATCATGCTGGTCATTCCAACATTAAATACCTTCTAGCAATCAGTTTTAGCTTAGAAAACTTTTTGACCATGATGTAAAGAGATCAAAACATGCAGGTCGTCAGCATTTCCTCCTCAAGCTTGCTTCAGAAAGGTTGTATGTTTAATTATTCTTCCCAGACAGAGAATTGACACACAAATCTAAACCATCTTTTTTTAAGCCAAAGTTGCATTGGTTTTCTTCTATCTAGCTATATTCCCTTTGAAAACTGCATAACAGTTTTAGTTATTTTTCTGTAACCACCTACTAAAGCTACATGTTTTTCCCATTTCTAGCAAATGCCAGATGTTAACGTAAGCTGGGATGGAGAGGGCCCCAAGCAGCTGCCCTTTATTGATATTTCAGTGGCTGTGGCAACAGATAAAGGTTTAATTACCCCAATCATAAAAGATGCGGCTTCCAAGGGTATACAGGAAATTGCTGACTCTGTAAAGGTATGTCTTTAGAAATACTGGGCTTTCAAAATGTAGAAATATACTTCCAAGTAATTACTTTCTAATAAAGTTTTGACATGATCTGTTCACACTGTGATTTTAGGGGAGGGCAGGGTGAGAATTATATCAATTGATTGTTACCTGTGTATCGGTTTTTGGTTTTTTATCTCAATATGATCCATTTTAAGAAAATAAGTAAAAATTTAGAAATAATGTACAGGTAAATTAGGAAATAACTTCATTCAAGTTGACAATAAACTTGATTTTCAAAAGTCCAGAATCAGCCCTGAAGATGCTATTTCAGATAGATTTTTAAAGCTGAAGTAAAATTGAAACTGTATTTCTATGAAAGTAGTAATAGGTAGCTTCAGTGTTTTTTGTGTTTGGGGTTTTTTTGAGAAAGAGTCTTACTCTTTCAACCCAGCTAGAGTGCAGTGGACATGAGATCTTAACTCACTGCAACCTCAAAACTTCTGAGTTCAAGAGATCTTCCTGCCTCAGCCTCCCAAGTAGCTGGAACTATAGGCAAGTAGTTAGGACCACAGATGTTCACCACCATGCCCAACTAATTTTTTCCTGTTTAGAGGGATAGGATCTTGCTCTTGCTGAGGCTAATCTTGGACTCTGCCTTTGGCCTCCCAGAGTGTTAGGTGTTATAGGTGTGAGCCACCATACCTGGCTGACCTCAGTATTAGTAACGCTTTATTTTTAAAGTTTATTTCATTCATTTTCTCTCTAAAATTGAGCACATTGAAAGCAACAACCTAGTATTCCAGACGCAAGGTACTTATACTTTTTCTGGATTTCTTGTCAAGCAATTTTTGTGGCTTCAGTATGAAGAATCTGATTTCACACACACACACAAAAAAAACAAAGCCTATTGATTAGGCAGGAACACAGGCAGTAGGTCGGCTCTGGCAGACTCAGTCATTTCCAAGGGTTGCTTTTAGCAGAAGTGTCACGAATCTTGAAGTATTTGCTTTGAAAATTTTAGACTCATTTGGGTAAATGTTTTTTTCCATTTGCCAAGGAGCTGTTATATGTATAGGGGTAGAACAAATTATAAGTGGGATAAAAGTAGAAGGTAAGACTTGTTTGGGGAGCCGACAGTATATTGATGCATAGACCTCGTTGCTCAAGGCAAATAAATAAATGCAAGTTACTCTGGTTTTTTAAAAGCTTACCCACAAATATGAGTTTACTTGAAATTTTAGGGTTAGACATAATTAAAAATTATTATTTAACTATTATTATTAATTTCAAACTAGTGGAATCGACCTTTTTAGGTCTTACTTCACTCCTCTTTGGAAAGATTTTCAGAGTGTTTGTATAGGTAAAAATGCAACTGTTTTTCTTAATTGGAAGGTGATGTTAATTCAGCCAATTCAAAAGTTCAAGTAGAAGATTGGTTTACTGGGATATATAGTGCATACCATTTGTTCATCAAGAGCCTTAGGTCTAATGAAATTCTTAATTCTTCATTAGTTGTAACAGTTTTAAAAGGGAGACCAAAGTTTACTTCAAAAATAGCCCGCAAATTTTTTCATTGAATTAGTCAGGTATGTGATATGTTATATAAATAAGCTCAAGATTGGTTTTATTGACCCAAACGACAGTGGCTGCATTTCTCTCTATCCTTCCTCTCATAAATTAGTTACTTTTGCATGTGATAATTCATTGTCTGTTCTCTTGCTTTTGAAACATTGAAAAATAAAGATTAATAGAAGTATGGTTAACTCTAAGTGCAAGTGAGAGGAAATTTATCTATTTTTCTTAATACCACTCTGTGTCATATCTTTCTCTGTGTAAGTTTTTAGAAATCAATATCGTCAAGAATGGTATGAAACTAGTAATTCTTATATCCTGTGGGCAGGGTAAATCAGACTAGCCATTTCAGGAAATATTTTAGCTATAGGATCAATAACCAAAAAAAGTTCTTTCTCTGAGGCACTGTAATTTCACTTCTGAGAATTATTATGGAATAATTAAAAAGAAACCAACAAACAAAGTTATAATACTAGGAAGATGACTAAATAAATTATGGCAGATGCATCCTTTACAGGGGTCCTCAGACTTTTTAAACAGGGGGCCAGTTCGCTGTCCCTCAGACCGTTGGAGGGGCCAGACTGCGGGCCCCGGGATAAGTCGGCTGCTAAGCAGGACAGGCAGTGGCAGCAAAAACACCCGGCAGGCCAGATAAATGTCCGAGGCAGGCCGCATGTGGCCCGCGGGCCATAGTTTGAGGACACCGGCTTTAGAATGTTAAGCAGATTATAAAAAATTATTTATAAAGACTAACAATACAGAAGGTCCATATATTGAGAAGTGAAATATAACATTCTGCATTATTTACCAATATCCAAAGGTGAAGCAACCTGTGAAAGATGATGAGTGATATGTTGGTTGTGGGATTATGGGGGTACTACTTCAGTTGCCATTGGACTAATTATTTAAAACCTATTAGATTGACAAGAATGGCTTCTAATATTTTATCTTACAAGAAAAACATGTATAAGCAAAATAGAAAATTGTATTATGTATAGAGAAAACACTAAAGCATTCTGCCTGGTGATGGTGCACAGGGTAATGCCAATATCTGAGAAAGTGTTAACAGGTAGTAAATTTTCTAGAGTTTTGACATCTTTAGTCTCTTGAATCAGCTGTGCTTTAACTTGTTTGTTCTTATAATTATATTTAATAACAAGATCGAACGTAGACCATAGTGTTGACTATGCTCTCATGCTGTATTTATATTATCAGGTACTCTCAAAGAAAGCAAGAGATGGAAAATTATTACCTGAGGAATATCAAGGAGGATCTTTTAGGTAAACTTAAATTCTTAATTATCATAGCCCCAAACAGATAAATATAAGACTTATTAATTCTATGTCAACCTATTTCATTTATTGTTCTGAAATAATTTGTAAATTTAAGATAAATGTCACATGCTTTGCGTGGACATTGACTAGCATATATTTATATTCAGGTTCTTAAACTTTTATTTTTTAAATAAATTTATGAACATAAAAAATTTGTAAACCTTAGCTGTTTTCTTTCTACTTGTGTTTTTTTCTTCAGTTATTTATTATCAGCTCTGTTTTTCAAGTGTAACTTCCATAAAATGCACTGCGTATAGCTTGAATTTTTCACAAAGTGAAGAACCTATATAGCCACCCTGAGCAAGATACAAATTACTGCCAGCATCTCAGAAGCCTCCCTTTATCCTTCCTAATCATCGCCCCTCTCCAAGATTGCCTTTGTTCTGAAAATGATTACCATAGGTTTGTTTTGCTGGGTTTGGTCGTTATATAAATATTATGTATTCTTTAGTATCTCACCCCCCTGCCCATATTAATATCTGTGACATGTTGTTATGTGAAGCAGCCATTTATTTGTTACTATTGTAGTATATATATAGTATTCTATTTAATATTTTATTAAATCAGAATCTGTTTACTGTTGATGGACATATGGGTTGTTTCCAGTTAGGTGCTATTACAAATAATGGTGCTATGAGCAGTCTTATTAGTGTCTTAGGGTGAACATATGTACATTTTTTTTCTTGTTATTGTATAGACCTGAAAGTGGAATTTCTGGGTTAAAAGCTCTAATAGATACCTTCAAATGATTTTCCAAAATGGTTATACAATTTTACCCTTCTATCAGTGCATGAGAAGGCCCATTGCTCAGCATACTTGCCAACATTTAGTATGTTAATTCTGGGGGTGTGTAGTAACACTCTGCAGTATCAAATTAATGACATTGCATCCTTTTTCATTCATCAGCCATTTGGATATACAGTAACTCATCAGATAAAGTACCTATTAAAGTGAAGTCTTATGTTCATTTTTAAAAATTATTTGTAGAAGTTCTTATTCTCAGATACACAGACATTTGTAGGCCTTATGTATATAATTTCAAATACCTTTCCCACTCTGAGGCTTACCTTTGGTACTCTCTTGGTGATGCTTTGTAATGAACAGAGGTACTGAATTTTAATGAATTCCTACTTTTAAATATTTTTCTTTATCGCTGGTTCTATTTGTTTTCTGTTATTTCTTTCTATTTGTGTGTCCCAGTCATGAAGTTACTCTTCTGTGTTATATTCTAGAAGTGTTGTGATTTTACTTTTGACATATAGATCAGAATTCGTCTAAAACTGGATTTTGTGTATAATGTGAAGGGCAAGATTCTCATTTTTTGTTGAGATACATGGATATTAAGTTAACGCAGCATCATTTCTTAAAAAAGATTTCTTCTTTTCCATAGTATTGAGAAGGTTCTCTTGTGTATATTTGTCGGGTTCTGTGTTCTCTTTCTTTCCACTGGTCTGTATATTCAGTATCACCAAACTATAACTCTTGGTATCTGGCAGTCAAAGTCCTTCAATTTTGTTCATCCTCAGAATTGCCTTCTGGCTCTTTGTATTTCCAAACAAATTATTTTTGTCATTTTTTCACACATATACACCACCTTACTGGAATTTTGATTGAGAATATGTTAAATATTTTGACTAGTTTGAGAATTAACATCTTTACAGTATTTAGTTTTCTAATAATGAACGTGGTAGAAATTATTCATTCAGTTCTTTGATTTCTTTCAGTTTTTTAATTACATTATAGGAAAACAACTAGGTGTTTATGATGTGGGTGGAATATTTGGTGTAGAGGTCTTGTATATATTTCCTAGGATTTATTCTTTGGCATTTGGTTTTCGATATTATAAATTCTGTTGTTTTTAAATTTCGTTTTCTAATTATAACAATTTATACATACAGTCATTCATCACTTAACAACAGGGATATACACTGTTGGGCTTTCATTGTTGTTTGCACATCATAACGGTGTTCTTACATAAACCCAGGTGGTGTAGCTCACTAACACCTGGGCTGGTGGGAGATAGCCTATAGCTCCTAGGCTACAAACATGTCCATTCTGTTGCTATACTAAATAGGCAATTATAACATAGTGGCAAGTATCTGAATATCTAAATATATCTAAACATTAAAAAGATTCAGTAAAAATACAGTATAAAAGATTTTAAAAAAAGGGTACACCTGTATAAGTCACTTACCAGCTTACCATGAATGGAGGCTGCAGGACTAGAAGTTGTTCTGGGTGAGTCAGTAAGTACATGTGAAGGCCTAGGACATTACTATAGACTTAATAAATACTGGACATTTAGACTACACTAAATTTATAAAGAAATACTCAAGCTATGACCTTATGAGGACTGCGATGTCACTGAGCAATAGGAATTTTTTGGCTCCATTATAATCTTATGCAGACCGTGCTAAGCGGCACATGACTATAGATATAAAACAGATTTTGTTGGCCTTTTATCTGATGTCTTAGCAAAATTTACTTATTAATTTTACTAGTTTATCTGTAGTGTATTAGATTTTTTTCTATATATACGATTTATCAGTGAATACGAATAGCTTTTTTTTAATACATATATTTCTTTTTATTGCCATATTTCATGGCCTAAGCACTCCAGTTCAATGCTTAATTAATGTTAAATAGTAGATATTTGTGTTACTACATGTTCTTTGGTCTTTGAATAAGTTGAAAGTTCAGTAGCAAAGGTTTTTAGTAAGTTAAACTATATGCTAAGGAAAGGTAGTTTGATCAAGGACATGCCAGGTTCAGAGCTCTTTGTTTTTTCTCTAGTATTTCCAATCTGGGGATGTTTGGCATCGATGAATTCACTGCCGTAATCAACCCACCTCAGGCCTGCATCTTGGCTGTTGGGAGATTTCGACCTGTGCTGAAGCTCACCGAGGACGAAGAGGGGAATGCCAAACTGGGGCAGCACCAGCTTATAACAGTCACAATGTCAAGTGACAGTCGCGTGGTCGACGATGAACTGGCAACCAGGTTTCTTGAAACTTTTAAAGCAAACCTAGAGAATCCTATCCGACTTGCCTAGTCCTCAAAGATGAGAAGTTGGTCTTTAGCTTATTTAACTCAATAGCTGTTACCAAGAAGTGTACGTTACAGGGAAACAGCTAGGTATTTAAGTATAAAGGGGGGTGAAATGTTCTTTTATTTAAAGTGCGAGCATTTGGCCCAAGTTGTCTTCATTTTAAGTTTTGGTTTAATGTTCTAGGAATAAATGGTAATAAACTAATAAAAGAAAGAACATTTGGTTAGTCAGATTTTTTTTAACCTTTGGTGCTTTACAAAAGGGGGGATTAAAAACTAGATATACGGGCTGGGCGTGGTGGTTCACGCCTGTAATCCTAGCACTGTGGGAGGCCGAGGCAGGTGGATTGCTTGAGCTCACCACTTTGAGACCAGCCTGAGCACAAGGGAGACCCTGTCTCTAAAAAATAGCCGGGCGTTGCGGCCAGCGCCTGTAGTCCCAGCTACACGGGAGGCTGAGGCAAGAGGATCACTTGAGCCCAAGAGTTTGAGGTTGCCATGAGCAAAGACGTGACGGCACTCTACCCAGGGCCATAAAGTGAGACTCTGTCTCAAAAAAAAATAATAAAAATAAAAACTAGATGTAAATCAAATTGTATATTTGGCTCCTTTGAGCATTTTAGAATATTTAACAATGTATGATACTTTGTAAAATCAAAAAATTGTTAGAACTCTATCTTAATTGAGTCAAAGTTAGAAGTGGTCTTTGGAGAGAGATGCCCATCAGCTTAGCAATGAGGCCTCACTTTTATGGGCGCTTCTCTACACGTACTTGAACAGTTTAATATGTACAGTTCTGAATAATAGTAAATAAGTATCACACTGTATTGGGGGTTGTGGCAACATTATTGAATTTTTTATGTATATAAAGCCGTATGTTTTCGAGTGGTTTCTATCATTCTTATATTTCACTTCTATAACACTGTGAACCTCTTAAGAATAGAATAAAAGCAACAAGAATGGAGAGAGAGATGCTTCAAAAGTTGTGTGGTTTAATGAAAAGCGATAGCTAAACACCATAAACCTTCTGAAACAAACTGCTCGTCTTCATCCTGAGTTGGACTATATTTAAATAAATTATGTTATCTCCTACCAAACATTTTAATTTAATGTCAGTTTAAAAACAAAATGTCGTTTCTTCGTGCATTTTAATAAATTTTGTATTGTGCAATAAAATGTGAGAAAACACAAATATTTCTTTTGTATTTTAAATGTTAGGACACAGAATTTCAGTAAAACTTTGAAGTAGATTAACTGTTTTTCTAGAACATCATAAGAAGCATTCCACACGAGGAAAGAGTGATTTAAAATTAGTGTGACATTAGGAAAGTCACTGATAGGAAATATAAAACTCTGGAAAGGGAGTGGAAGAGAAGACTTAGGAAGCCAGACAGATGAGAACTGTCTTTTTTATTCCATTGTTAATGCGAGCCGGATGGGTGGGTTTATACCTTTAATCCCAGCACTTGAAGAGGCTGAGGTGGGCGAAGCACAGATTAGCCGGGTATCGTAGCATATGTGTATAATCCCAGCAACTCCAGAGACTGACACCAGAGGATCCCTTGAGCCCAGGAGCGCAAGGTTACAGTGAGCTTTGATCAGCCCACCGTACGTACTCCAGTCTGGGTGACAGAGCAAAAACTCTTAACAAAAAAAAAGATTAGTGAAAATTTCATATCATCATTATTAAGGTTAGAAGAGCTTATTTCTCTCTTTTGACAACTCTGCTGTCACTGGCAAGATAACTATTTAAATTGGATGGTGATGAATGGTAATTTAATTAGCTAGTCACAGAAAGATGCCTCCTGTGAGTGTCAGCTGACATGAATGACCGGAAGAGAGACTATATGGTACAAGTTGTGTGTTATGGCATGATGAACGAGAAGCCCTAACCAAGAGAGCCTTCTAAAATAATTAGTGCCCCACTATGGCAATTGTTAAAGGAATCCACTTACTCGGTCTTTTTTTTTTTTTTTTTAAATGGAACGAATTTGCGTGTCATCCTTGCACGCCATGCTAATCTTCTCTGTATCGTTCCAATTTTAGTAGACGTGCTGCCGAAGCAAGCACCACTTACTCAGTTTTTAACGAGGCATTTTCTAAAAAGTCTTCAAAACTTTTGTCATATTAAGAGTTATACGAAAAATTATAACCTCAGAACTTTTGTCACATGAACAGTTATACTGAAAATTATAACCAAGGCTATTTCAACATAATTTTTATAAGTTCCATTATTTTCAAAGTCAGTTTTAATGGAAATTATTTGCCTTGTCTCCTGATTTTTCCATGATTTAGAACATGACACAGACATAAATAACTTGATTTAGAGTTGTGTTCCATAAACAGATAGACAAAAACAGAAGAGCATCTGTTTCCCTGGGGGTGAAATTGGCGTTGCTATCCACCCCAACTGGCATTAGAGAGTTGTGAGCTGCACAGGAGAAATGGCCACATAAATTTAAGACATTTTAATTCTTTAGGGACATCACCGCCCGGCTTTTCATACAATCAAACCAAGTCAACTTGATTTGACTTCCTAGTTTTTGGTACAAATGCTTGGTCAGTCTGACTAAAAGTGTTTTTCCTACTGTTTTTATACTGATGGGTCTTATATAAGGAAGTTTTCAATTCTAATAGGTATTCTGCTGCAGTGTGAATAAAGAATAATACTGATTTAAGAGTGGAGTGGGTATACTCAGTTTGAACTGGGCGCTGCCCTCGGAGGCCTCTTCCACAATGTGCTGCTAATTTATCTGCAGGAGCTGGGTATCACACTGAGAGGATGTGAACAGTGAAATCTTGGATTTGGTCATCTTCTCATTTAAACAGGGGAAATGACTAAAATATTGGGAAGACTTCTAAGAAAAAGGAAATATGCCAGTTATCACTAGGATATCATGGAAATATCAATAAAAATGAGAATGTGTAAGTCAAAATGACTCTCTCTGATGATTTCTCATTAACATTTCCAGACACAGTTCGATGACTATTTTGTGCTCCGTTAAAGTCATTGGTGTACTGCTGCCAGCCACCTTTGTTCCAAAGGTCACCAAGACATTTATGTAGGTTGTTGCAGTGTTTTATATAGAGTCAAATGGAACTTACTATTTGTAGATTTTTTTCATTTTATAGTTTTCGCTTGATACTTAATTTTACACTAAATTGTATAGGCCAACTGTGTGGGCAATTTGCGCAAGTAAAACAATTTCTTAACCTTTCATTGACAGATAGGTGGTGCTGTGAGTCGATATATTGTAGTGATTGTATGGGGGGGGAATAAACATCATTTGAATGTTCATTTTCAAGCAAAATTTGTCCTCGTTGCACATTGCATTATGGTGGACTTTGTCACAGGTGAAGAAATGAACAAACCAAGTGCATTGCAGGTAAGAGCCACCAATTTAATTATGATGCCCTTAATGGGAAACTTGTGCTGACTTTTGAAGAAGGAAATAATACAGTCTGGCCATAATGCAAGTGGTCAAAACGGAGAGGACAGCAGACATCGGGAAACAGCTGGACCGTTTTGCTATAATGAAAGCTGATTGACAAAGTCAGTGTCTTTGAGGAAGGGAGAAAATGAGTAATACTCAACATGTTAGCATGCAGTGGTGTCTCCTAAGTAGAGGGGATGGGCGTGTTTGATCAGATAATAAGGCAGCAATGATATAATTTTCCATCTCAAGTACAATCCTCCAGAGCTTCCATTCACCAGTGTCAAAAGGAGTAACTGAAAAGTTATGTGCAGCAAATACTGTGTTTCAGTAGACATCTAAGCTTTCTAGAAATGGAAAAAGCAATAGTCTTCTGATAAAAGTATTTTAAATAGTTTCAGATTTTAATTTTTTTATTTTTTTATTTTTTATTTTTTGCAGTTTTTGGCCAGGGCTGGGTTTGAACCCACCATCTCTGGCGTATGGGGCTGGCATATTACCCCTCTGAGCCACAGGTGCCACCCTAAAAAATTTTTTTAATGTCTATTGGTTTTGGGAGGTGGAGGCAGACACACTAGGAAGGAAGGTATGGTTGCTTTAGATGTGTAATATTGAAGACACCATGTAATTGACATGATAAAGTATGAAGGCATTTTAAATAATGGTTATCAGCATCTCTTAGCAACGGTCTTTTGTTTCTCTGATGACATAAAGTTTCATTTCACATTTTATCTCCCAGCTTTGTTTTTCACAGCAAATCCAAGTAGCCTTTTTCTTCTGGGAGACTAAATGCATTGTAAGCCTCCTAATTTAATCTTAACTCTCTGATATATACCATCAAGGGAAACATGGGTTTTCATTACAAGTTGAGAAATTAATTAATAAAATCATTAATTAGCCATGATTTGCCTTTTTTCACGTCTAAAATTTCTTAGTTTGTGAAATTCTTTATTACTTTTATGACTGAAAGATGTCTTTGAAAGATAAGGCTGTGTGATTAAATAACATTGGTCATAGCCCTTTGCAAAGGATTATGTGAATGTGAGATAGTAAATTTTTAATATAAATTGCACTCCTCAGAAGCTCATCATCAGTCTGTTGGATAAGAATGGTATTCATCAGGACCTGTTGTGTGGTACTTAGTAAATTACCATCCTTCCCAGCAGAACTACTGGTCATCGATACATACTTTGTTTCTCAAGTATGCATACTTCTAAAATCAGGAGTATTTTAAGCCTTATGTCAGCTTCACCCTATTTCTGTGGCTCAGTATTCTTTCCTATAAAATGAGGAAACAAGAAGGAAAATGAATCATGCTAGTGGTTACTTATCTGTTTAATTTCCTCAATTCTGTGTGTGGGAGGTATGTGTGAAGATTGCAAAGTAGAATATACCTCCCACGTAGTCTCAGAGATTACACACACAAACTCAGAGATTGTATAAATTGGCCAAAGCTCAGAAGTACCGCACCCGGGATTGAAACCCAGATCTGTGTAGCACCAAAGTCCAAGCTCACTGCATTGCAAGATACAGCCTTCTAAGTTGTGATACTGAAGCTGAAATATAGTTCCATATGAAAAGGTGGTGTTTTCCACCAACAAGAACTGAAGGTCCTGTTCTTCATTTATAAAACCAATGTGTTTGCTCAATAACCAATCAGTTTATATTTTCTGTATAGTGGTTCTCTTTGTGCTTTTCAGGTAAAAGTGTGCAGAAAGTGCAGAGGGTTTTTTTTTTTCACTATGGACAACTACTGTTAACCTGAAATACCAAGTGTGATGACTTGTACCTCTGAATGGAAAGTTTAGAGATATAGAATCTTACAAAAATATCAGGACTTAGTGCCTCTAAGAATAAAAATATGATACGTTGTATAGAACATTTTACCTTTATTATCTTTG